AAAGAAGATGAAGACAAAAATGACATCGAAGCCAGTGGCCGATTGTTAGATTAGTAAATTGACTGACAGAAGTGTCTCGCTTAGCTGTTTGTCGGCTGAATTCTTTGCATTTATCTTGCGCTCGTTTTATATTTTCATACGCACTTATTCTACAATATTAATTATATTCTACATAACTTCTTCCCTTTCTCTTTGGTTCAAGGGAAGAAAAGCAGATACTTTTGGATCCTAGGATCCACCAGGATCCAAAAACTCTGATTGGAAAAAGGAGGAATTGGTCGTAGGATTTTCGAGTAAGAAGCATGAGTGAACTGATAAGATTGACATCTTAGTCAATTTCGATGAATTCTGCTAGGTTCCAATGAATTTTTCGATACTTAAAAATCAAGTAGGATGCAACATCCGAGTGTACAGCTTACGCTCGTGAGCGTAAGCGGTATATCCCTAATTATTATTACTTTTGCTATTTATTACGAGTAATAAAGTTCAAAAAATTGAAACTAATAAAAGCAATAACTGATAAGTAATAACGTGTAATAATTATTACCGTAATAAATACCGACCAAAGATGTTGCTTAGAATTTTTTAGTATCTACCCAGGAGGATTTCTTATAGCTACTTGCGACCTACCGTGAGATCGTATTAGACGCTTCCAGGATCAGACCAGAACTGGCCCCTATAACTATTAGGAGTCTACCTACGCGTGATACTCAGAACGTTTTAAGAATCATATAAGGGTCATACTTAGAAGTGTTTTAAGCCTGACCAAGGGTGGTACTTAGAAGTCCTAAGGACTCAGTCAGAGGAAGTAGTCATAAGTTTTAGGACCTACCCAGGGATGGTCTCTTTAGCTATTTGGGATCTACTCACAGATGATACCTAGAACTTTTAAGAAACTACCAAGGGATGGTTCTGTACCTTTCTGAACCTACCCGAGGATGGTAACTAGAACTATGTGAGAACTTCGCAGGGCTGATCTGTGCAACATTTTAGTACATACATGTATATAGTGGCATCTCTTGTATTCTTATGCGCAGCGTGGGAGGTTTTTTTTATAACTTATTCAGTCGTAACTAGGGATGAACCGAGACCGCAACGACTGAGACGGAGATGGAAAGTCTCGGTCTCGGCACAACCCTATTTGTAACTATTGGCAGTTCCTATAACTTTTTCAATCCTCTATAAGCATCGTCGTTTTAACATGTAACTCTGCCCAGCAGTGGTATCTTCAAACTTGACGTCAAGGGGGGGGGGGGGCGAAGCGGATTTANGAAAAGGCTGATTTAAATCACAGTAAAACTCAACTTACAATCAATATAAATTAACTGTATTGGAATGAGTTTGCGTGAGTTTCGGTGCCTTTGAATGATTTTCAGTAATAATTTATGATTTGGAATAGCTTTTAGTTATTTTAGCAAATTTTTCCTTTTTCTCAAACTCATTTTAAATCAGCTAAACTCAGAAAAATCATGAAACTCATAAATCGCTTTTTCCCCTTGCTTGATGTACTATCCTTAGCGGTTCCGAAAAATTCATAAGGGCAACCCTTAAGTAGATCCCAAACGACTAAAGGAACCGTTCCAGTGTAAATCCACAAACTTTACGGGGACAGCCTCCAGGTAGGATGCAAAAGTTACAGGGATCACATCTAGATAGGACATAAGGGATCGAAGGGGTTACCCTTAATTACGGCCCAAATAATACTAGCGATTGAACGCAGGTAATCTACCGATTGTGGACAAATCAGTGAATAGAACTGTCTCAGCAGTTCTTTCGTTCATTTGATCTGAACTATGATCTGAGAGCTGTTGTAGCCCTAGTGGTGAGAAAGTAGAAATATATCGATAAATAGAAGTAATTCCACGATCAAGTTCTTTATTGCTTTATTTCTTCTTTATTACTTTATTAATTTTCCTGGCTTTTAGTTAGTACTATTAATTCGAAATAACCGTTATTACTTATTACCGGTAATAGTAATGTGCTACCCGTACTAGAAATATATAATAAGATCCTAGTTTTGTTCCTTGGTAGTTTGCGGTAGTAAGATGAGCGAGGTTAAGAAGCAAATATTCGGAAACTATGATTTCCCAAACTTTAATAAGCCTATTCTAGCGCTTATTGTCAATCCATCGAGTAACAAGTATTTAAATACATCGATTGAATATATTAGATAAGAAACTGTATGAAATACTATAATGTATTTTTATATGAATACAGCTAAAGTGGGTTCATTATTGCTGATTTCTTGTATATTCTATTTGGAGAAGAAGCACTCACGCTTATCAGCACTCATTACTGTGAGCTGCACACTCCTAAGCCACCATGATCCATTTTTTTACATTGTTTGAAGATTGCTGTAAAGCGAATCAGTTTTTGGTGCATTGTGGCAGACTTCGACGTATTTAGTAGATTGAAGTAGCTTCTCATAGATTTCCGTACACTCCAGTCAATCTATTGTACAATTTAATGCCCTTTATTAGGAGCATCAGGATCCGCTTTTTCTCCCTTGCTTTGGTTTATTCTATTCATCACTATACCTTATTCAAGACACTACCTTCAAACTATCAATATTAGATAATAAAGAATCTCATTAGAGAAAGTATAAAATTGGTACTCTTAAGTTTCTAAAATATGACCGTGAATGTCAAGCTTCACGTCATGAAGGAGATACGGACAAAAAATTCAAACAAGACGAAGAATTCATCAGTAAGGACAAACGACATAACTTTACACATAAGTATGGAAGAATAAAATCCAAAATTGCCGCATAAGACAGGCATTCGTGAGACTGAGAATAAAGGAGCCTTGGGATCAACCAATGTGTCAGAGTCAGGATAAAAGAGCGGGCGTGCACAGCAATGCTTCAGTTTGAGATAAAAAGCACTAGGTGAAACAGCTATGGATCAGTATGAGATAAAGGAATGTGCAAGCATCAGCTTGAATAGTTTCTTTACCAGATTTCATCAAGTCAGATTTGTGGGCAGAGCTGTTTACCTCCGAATAGTGCTACACGACAAAAAGAGAACCTTGAAAGTTGTGGGTCTTATATGCGAAATCATGGACATTGAGAAAAATTAGAGAAATATAAAAATTCGTATTAACGAAGGAGAATCTCTACGTCGCCATGTACTATTAATTCCAAGGAAGAAAAGGCCTTTCGGTCTCGAAAGCAATGTATTAATTTCAGGAGATATTTTTCGTCATAAAGCTATCTATATAAGAAGGTGAAGAGTACTTCACGTTCTAAAGAATCGCTAAAGGGTGGAGAAAAAGCTTTGCACCATATAAGCGGTGCAAAAGGGTGAGTATACATGAATGAAGGTATTCTTTTCATCTTCAAGTCACACCCACTCCCATACTTTGTATAGGAGATTAGCTATAGACTAAGACTATAATGAAGAGATATGTATGAAATAAGGGACTACACTAAGGACTTGGGTATAGATCGAGGAGTTAGTATAACGGATGATGTGAGGATTGAAGGAGTGTATTCAGGTGTTAGAGCAGGTAACTATATCGGTCTAGGCATCGATCGAATAGTGTTGCACTAGAATTTGTACGAAATTTTGACTACGAAACCATTTCTCATACAAAATAAAAATGTTTTTGTACAAAAACCATAGTTTTACGAAAATTTGAAAGCCATTCTCTGTGCTACTACAGATCATAATGACAGATTCTTCCCCTCACTCTTCACAAGTTGTGGCAAAAGACCTCTCGGGGCTATCAGAGGACATGCTTCATTATCATCTAATTAGAATATATATGAAGTATTTTCTTGTGGCATCTCTATAGGATTAAGCGGACGGTGACGAAGACACGTATCTCAATATACGTAAAATGAAACATTTTTCAGATGATTAGTAACAATGGCTATTATGTGTCTCATATTTTTATCTGGTAGTGATCCTTCTAGCAATTTTTTTACTGACTTAATATTAATTGCTATGAATGCAAGAACTTGTATATTTTAGATAAATATTTATACACAGTTTATCCCACGCAATATGAACATCAGGTTTATCATTCCCATCATTTTTTTCATCATGCTAAGTATTGCACAAAGGAGCGTTGCAATTGAATGTTACTCGTGTTTGGATTGCCCAAAGGTACACAGAAGCACGCCAAAGACAATTGCGACGCATGGCTGGTGTGTAAAAGCATTTGAAACTAGAGGTGGACGAGAGTACGTTGTCCGCGGTTACTGGTTGGGACCTTCGCCAGGAACACGAAATTGCACGCAAGTTGAGTGTACCGTAGATCCCGCTAGTGGTGGAACGGCTTGTTGCTGCAATACAAACTTATGTAATTCTGCAAGTGGGCTATCATGTATGACAATATTGGTGTCAATACTGATGATGATCAGTTTTACTGTGAATCTCAGAAACTATTGCTTGTAGATTCTTATGAGATAATATTAAACATGAAGCAAAAATAAATGTTTCTCACGAAACAAAACTTTTCTGAAATCACTGTTGGCGAGAAGACTTTCAAAGACTGCAATTTAGGAATTCTCTCAATTCGTTCTCGTGTGGATGTCTGTGTTTAGATAGTGCATAGAAACTACCATGAACGAGTCTGACCTTGAAACTATGTTTGTGGGTGGGTGCGTTGGTCTTTTATTTAAATACACCCGCCAGACGTATCCCCATTATATCTCACCCACACCGTCGACTTTCAAGAAAAGTAGATGATTTTACAGTGCAACTTCAGTTCGAAATAAGTTACTTCTCAACACAAGTTGGCAACAGATTCACTGCATATTTTGAGCAAAATTGATATTGAAAGTGAATTTTGTTCAATCTAATATCTTTTATGGGCTCATCGCTTACCTGTCGGCTATGTTTGACCCCAGAAAGAAGACAATCAAAGTTGATTGGCAGCACACAAACCAAATACAGTAACAGACAAAAGTTTCCACCCGCTTATAATTTTATTAAACACTGTGATTCAACAAAAAATTTTTTTAATACAAAGAAGTTACGAGTCCATCCTCATCACTAGTGTAATATGAAATCACCATGACTTTCTACAACTTCAAGAACTCGATTTTCCATACCATGTACCAAGTTTAACGCTAATTCCAGTGGTAGAGCCTTCCATTCGTGCTTTATTGCAGACACCAAAGATTGATAATTTGTAAACGATTTTTTTCTTAACTTCATCTTGAGGAGTTGCCACACATTTTCAATTGGAGCAATATCAGGGGACATCGATGGCCAGTCTATTTTTTCAATTCTCTTTTCTTCTCTCCAGTGGGTGGCAAGTTTCGACTTGTGCTTAAGATCGTTGTCTTCTTGCAGCTTCCACGACCTCAGATCGTTACCAAATTGTTTCTTAGCTATTGGCAACAGACCGTACTTATAGATACTACACATAAATTTAGCGTCGAGGTTTTGCGGAAAACAAATGATGCGACCGAAACCTTTACTTGAGAAGCAACCCCAAACATTAACCTTGATTGGATGCTTGACAGTACGAACGACTTTTTCATTTCCTGGAAAGTTCCAAACCAATCCTTTCACGGAATTCAGGCGGACAGCAGTCTCATCAGAAAATATCATCTGATTCCAGTCAGTTGCTTTATGATGTTGTGTCCATCTTAAACGATTTTGTCGATGGTGTTCTGTAAGCAATGATTTTGACATTGGCCAACTGTATCTAGCTCCTGCTTCGTTCAAACGCCGACATACTGTTCTCGCACTAACTACCACTCCTCGCCGCTCCAATTGGTTTGTAATATCTTGAGCGGTGACGAATGGCTGTTCTTTAGCGAGCGAAGTAATTCGTTGGTCCTGTTTCTCAGTAGTTGCACGTGATCGACCGGAACGGGTTGAATCAGTTAAATCTTTGGATTGTGTCCATCGGTTGAGCCAATATTTCACTACTGAGATGCTACAGTGAACTGCTTTTGCCACGTCCACATGACTTTGTTGTGGACCCTTTGGATGATTAGATAAAAACACAATTTCGCACCGTGTGTGTATTGGTTATGGCATTTATAAAAAGTATTGATTCATAGCACTTTAGAAGAAATGAATAATTTTTCTGACCATAGCATTAGTACTACTATATATATATACTACACTTATGGAGCTTTTTAGGATTTCTCGAAAATGCGAGGCGGGTGGAAACTTTTGTCTGCTACTGTATGTTGAACATATCGATGCTAGTTCACGAAAACGAATGAAAAACGCAATTAAACAACGACTGTTAGTTCGTGGGTATGGTCATGTGCTTTTGGGTATGCAAGGTTTTTTTCTTGATGCATTATTAGGCATGACCTATCAAAGCGTCAGGATCGTGCGTACTGAGGTTATCAGAGCACCCAATGGTGTCGACATGATGCTACGTGCTTGGTTCTGCAAACGCATGGTTTTCGTCCACAAGAACGCACATTCAACTGCAAGGACGCAGGCGAATGCGAACAATGATCCATTCAAATTCGACATATTTCTCCCACCACAGATGACCACTGAGCAACTTGTCGTCCATTAACAATTTCATTATGCACGGATCAACATGCCAATCTCTTTAGTTCTGGCCAACAATCAATTTAAACTTGACTCCTTTTCAATAACTTTTTTCTTTTTCTGTTCCACGCCAATAATTAATTTTCAATGATTCTATATGAGGCATATGATTTAGTGAAGAAAATGAGTGAACTACTAGCTGCATGAAAAGTTGACAGTTGAGTGTGTGATTGTAATTGAATGAAGAGAATTCTTGCACTCACACTTCTGGGCGTCCACCTATTGAGTCGTCAGGGCGTGGGTTATAAGCTATACTGGATTTCAGGCTAGTACTGTAGTCGAAATCTTTGAGAAAAAAACTGGATCAGATATAGCGACGTGACTATTAATACGACTAGCTTTTAACCAACCTAGGGATGTGCGGTGTCAGTGACAACACCAAAAAAACGTCACTTTTGTCACTGACAGTGATGCTCAATGCACACTGACACTGATATCTCGTAATTAATTGTTGCATATTGCTGTCAGGCATGTTCTTAAAATAAAGAAAGAATGATCATAAACTAGATACATGTGCTTTTGTCGAAGATTTTTGCATATAACTTATTTATCTAATTCTTCGACCAAGATGTTTTATTTTTCTTCACGTTTCTGGGACTAACCATTAGTTATCTTCAAGAAACACATACACCTCGTTTATGATCGCTCTTTCTTTATCTTAAACACATGCCTGACGTACCAGTGACGCCGATGGGATCAGTGCATCAGTGATTGGTGATTCAGTGATCGCCGGTGTTCCAGTGGCGTCAGCATCAGTGTAATCAATATTTCAGCTATCAGTGGCACTGAGTCTATCAGTGTGCATTGAGCATCACTGTCGATGTCTATCAGTGTTCAGCAAATGCACACCACACATGCATAACCCAACCTTTGTCTTACTAGGGATGTTACAACAAAAAACTGAAATTATTTTCCAGACACTTTAGTTATTATTGTATCGAGTCTGAATCTTCATTTAAATGTTGTTCATATAATTATTATTCGATCTAAAAGGATAATTGTTCATATTACTTGTACATTTCCTGTTATTTGCTATTAGAGAGCATTCTATGAGAACCAACACTGCCGCTAACTGATGGCTTCCCCGTCAATTTGATTGTTTACTTTCTACCCTACAAAAATTAATTAGTTATACTTTGCTAGTTTTTATCTTCACCTCGATTCATGATGTTACAACAGGTGTAGAATTAGCGAGCAACTAGATTTTCCTACGAGTCTAAATTAAAATAAAGTTGCCTCTCACTTTAGACAACATATATAACAAGATCGAGTATCGTGTGCTAAAAGGACTTTTTTCAACTGGTACTTGGCATTGCATACTAGTTTACAGTTTAAGTAAGATCAAATATTGGCAGAGAAAATGTTTTGTTAGTTTTTTTCAATATGTTTAACGTTTTGGTTTGAAACGATACGATGGATCTTTCTTGAAATCGATGCAGCCATCACACGAACAAAATTGATCGCCTGTTCCACAATAGCCACCATTCGAACAGCAATGTGCAGTTTTATCATCTGGATTACAGATCGGAAAAATGTTGCCGGTAATGGGTGAAACGTCAAGACCACATCGACCTCGTTTCCCGTCTGGTGCATCAAGTAGATACCAAAGAGGAGGATCGATACTCGGTCGAATAGGTTCATCGACTAATAAATCGGGATTCTTTTCATAATCGATTCCTAAGCCGGTACAATGTTTTTCCGATTTTCCACAATAGCCATCCGGTGAACAACACGAATAGCCGGGATCGTCCGGGTCACAAACTGGATAATAGCCTTTGTATAATGGAGCCGATCTACCACACATGCCTGCTCTCTCTTCACTATCTTCCAATGTCCACCAACGTTTTTCTCCTTTCAATGGTGAACATTTGTAAAACACTGATGATGGATTTGTATGTTTACACAATGGAGCATCACCAATTATTTTCATCATTGTCAGATCGGCATCGTCTTGATCAATTGCCCACACCATAAGACCACCTATATTGTTGTCAGCAGCATAGTCCGCTTTGTATTTCAATGACTTAGGACTTTCGTAACCTAAATAGATAAGTTCTTGATCATTGAAAGCAAACGTAGCCTTCGTTTTCTCATGAAATCGTTCTTTGTATCTTTCATTGGTCAACCATGACTCTTGAATCTCATTCCATGGTGCAAAACCGCCAACAAATTTTCCATTGACCGCCGTTGCCTTTCTCCACATCGGATCAGTCGGATCGATAGGTTCTCGTTCTACATTCTTCCAATAACGACCATAGAATGGAACACCCATAGTGATCTTGTGCGGTTGATTTGTTCTGCATACATAATACTTGATTGTCCAATGCACATTTGTCTTACCTGAAAATCTTGGAGGCATGCCAAAAAAGAGAGGTGCCGGTGGTCCCGTATATGCACCCCATTTCGACTCCCAAGCACCAAAAAAATCGTACGTCATTACGTTTGCAAAATCTGCGTATTCTAACAATCCAGGTAAATCGTAACCAGGGTCGAGCGTCCATTGACCAGCAGCCGATGCAAATGTTAGTAAATAGTCGGACCGATGTCTATCCATGGCTTGTCGCAGTTCTTTCATCAGAAGAACATAATTTTTTTTGTCTTCAGGTATCCCTTCAACAGCTCCACCCGTCACTGGATGTTCCCAATCAATGTCAATGCCGTCCATGTGATATTCATCGAGCAATTTCAATGTTGAAGCAATGAATCGAACGCGTTTGTCAGGCGAGGCAGCAATTGAGCTAAAGTATTGTGAATTTTCCCACCCACCAACGGCAAACATATATTTAATATTTGGAAACGCATTTTGCAAACGTGCAAGACGTTCCAAACGTTGGCGTGCAATTTTTGTATCTTCTTCGACATCTGTACTATGTGTTCTATCTGCACTACCCAAAAATATGTTGCCACTAGCATCGACCTCAAAAAATGCAAAGATAATGTGTGTTAAACGTTGGGCATGTTGAGAACTGATCTTTCCCGTGCCCCACGACGGATAGTAGCCAACAATACGCTTGTCACATTTAGCAGCTTGGCTCACATTGTCGCCCGCTTCATCATCATTATCATTATCATCATTTGTATCCGTGCCATTGTCATCGTTGTCTTCGACAATATCATAGTTTGCTTCATCGAAAATGCTCAATGAACTTAAACCAAACAGAGCAGCTGCTGCCTTGGCTTCTGCTCTTGTACAACCTCGTACTTCTCTCCTGTCTTCATCGTTAGTGTCTTCTCTTTTTGTTTTTGTCTTCTTCTTTTTTTTGTTTGACTTTTTTGCAGCATTTTTATCACGTTTCCTCTGTTCCATCAGTAAATCTTGATGCCAAATATTGGCTTCTGTTTGATCCAAAGACAATTGTGATGCGCATTTAGCACTATTGATCGGCGAAATACTTGTTCGCCCTTTTACCGCACTGGTAGATCCAGTAATAAAAGGATTTTTCAACAAAAAATAATTTTTATTCGATGCTAACAGTGCCAATATGTCTTGTTGTGAGACCGGCTTTAAAGTTTTGACTAATTGCGTTCGGTCCGTACGTTTTATTTTTGAATTATCAGACACGAATCCGACAACGTGTGTTTGACTATTGCGTTGGTAACAAATCATTTTCCAAAAACAGGATGGTATATCTACGCCACCGATCGCTTTTGTTTTTCCTCGACTAGTGGGGCAAACGCCGGTTACCACAAGACTCGGTGGATATTTATTGTTGTGACATCGTATATGTGCTTCAATCATTCGCCATGGAATTTGATTTGTCATATCATTTTGTGGTGCCAGGTTTATGCGTAAGTTTGAAGCAAACGATGCATCTCTAGAATAACTGAGAATTTCACTTGGTGTCAAATGGCCATGATCGTAGCCGGAACCTGTGTATGCAGATTGTGGAGCTTGGAAATTTTTCAGTTCTTTACATGGATGATGGGTGTATCCTGTTGTGCGTTTACCTAGGGGATTCATGATTCTATTGGTCCCATCGAGTACGCTCAATGACCATACGGGCAATTTACGTTTTTTATCGAATAGAACAACATATGCATTCGTTCGTTCCGTTTTCATTACAATCATTGGATAATTGCCGGCAGGACATGATTCTGGTTCACATTTTGGTGTCGGCTTCCAAAAGGCTCGTTTAGCGTTTTTGGTATCTTTTTGACATGTAACACCGTGCTTATATGCTGATTCGTAGAGATATTCACATTCATACTTACATTTTGAGCCAATCGATTTCGCCTTACAATTGTCGAGGGAACGATCTTTGATTTTGTCGTTTTTTGTGTTTATTGATGGTTTACCACATTTTGCTCGATTTTTATTGTTGTCATCATCATCATCGTCTTCATCACTGTCACAATCTCGATCATGTTTTTGTCCAGCTGCTTGACGTTTCAGTCGTCCAATTTTACATTTCTTTTTTTTCTTACTATCGTTCTTTTTCTCGTCTTTTTTACCGTCGTTTTTTCCCTTGTTCGTTTTCTTCGTAGATTTTGTTAGGTTTTCTTTGACATCTTTGAGCACTTTGTCATTAGACTTTTTCAGTGATTTTCCTATTTTTGCAACACCTTTACCAGCACCTGGCAATGGGACAACAGACAATGCATCCAAGCCAACATTAGCCAAACTTTTGAAAGCACCTTTCACGTCGCCTTTGCCTATAGCTTTGCCGACTTTGACAACATTTTCTCCGAGACTTTTGACATCTTTGACGATACCTATACTCATAAATTCATCTTTTGCTGCTTTAGTATCACCTTTAACGAGATGACCGATTGTTTTAATCGCTTTAATAGGTGTCTCAACAATTTCTTTGACTGTTTCAACTATAGGTTTCACGATTTTATTGACAACCCATTTAAAGGCCTTTTTTAGAAAGCCAAGAAATCGTCGTCGCCGAATTTTCGAAATTGAGTTCAATTCGGTTTCGTTACCTACGGTCAAGGTTGTTCGATAACCTTTCAATGTTGAATAGGTTTGTTCATTTAACGATGATGAAGGATAGAAACATAAACGTGTATCGGTCTTCGCATAGAACAGGGGCATCTTGTTGATAACCGACAAGTTCATTTGGATATTAAAATAACGCGTATATATTTCACTGAATTCAGATTTGACAACAGTTGTCTTAGTATGAAAATAGGTACAGGTTAGAATTTGATTGACATAAGTAATTGATACATATTGACAAGTAATATTCAATGGTGAAACAAAAAGACATTTATGTAAACACGTATCCAAACAAATATCGTAATTGGCATCGGATGAGCATGGAATCATGTCCTGTTGATCGAGATAGGAATCATTTTCAGCTAATCGATACTCTAATTGATAATCAAGTGTACGCTCGAATGCCATTCGCATCGATGTAAAATCATTGCTATGCACCAATGGACGAATAAAACAATGAAGATTTTTGAATTCCGAATTCTTTTTGACTTGTCCAGGCCGGCCTGCTCCCGTTTTACATTCATGTGTATCAAAATTATACGAAGTTTTTTGACATTGAATATTATGATGACACGATTCAATACATTTATCGAATGGGATGGATGCCAACGACGTAGATGGATCAAAATCACAATTGGGTATAAATTGAAATTTTTGTCGAGGATATTGTAGCCAATAACGATGTTTTCTTCCAGAATGCGCTTCTATTGAGGTCCAATTGGCATATGTAGTTCTATATTGACAATCCGCTGTTAATTCATCAATTTCAACTGCAATACACGGAGGATTTCGCTGCAATAGACAATTTGTCATACAAATATTTCGCTTATTATTTTTCAGTTCTTTTTCCTGTTTCGTATTGGTGGCCATAGGGCACCCCGGTAAACTTGTGCTGCTAATTGATATCGAATGGAACTCTGTTTTCAAGCAATCTTGACATCCAGTCAGTCGATTGCAAGCCTTGCCGTCTGAAAAAAGACGGAAGAATTCGAGCAAGAAAATAATTTTCTGTAAAATGAGGCATTCTCGATGATGGGTGTGGGCGTTTAAAATAAATAATTATTCACACCCACACTCACACCCCTAGTTCTGTCTGTTCTCGTGGCATTTACCTGATGTGAAACAATTAGGATTGTAATAACTCTGTATATTCGATGATGCATTATTCGGTGTTTCTTCGCACATTGATGATCTTGCTGCTGTTGTTGTTACCATTGTTCGAGGATGTTGCTCATCCTTTTTAACTTCTTCATCGTCGTCGTCATCGTCATCATCATCATCATCAGTAAGACTGCTTTCAGGGATAAATCTCCATTCATTTGTATTATTACCATAAATAAGTTGAAAATTGATCGCTGAAATATATCCATAGGAGAGAAACATGTTGTTATTTTCATCACTATTTTCATTCCGATCGAATAATGCACACGATTTTGAAAGAAAACCATATGTTATTGATAAACAATTTATTGTTGATTGGCATAATTGTAAACACTGTAAGAAAGTTTCTGTCAGTCGTTTTTCTTCATTGCCAGAAATTCTTGTATTTCTTATATAAACCCAATCTTGAATAGTACCTATCGGTTGTTTAACTAAGACAGTTGTCCATTTGTCTTCTTGATTTGCCATCTCTAGACGATCGTCGCTTGCACGTATGCGATCAAATGTCAAGCATTTTTTATGTTTCTCTGAATATGAATAGCCAATGCATCGTTCATCATCGACACATTCCATGAAACATTCATCAAATTTCAGTTTAGACATAGTCGAAAGTGGAATATTATCGACTTGATTGATAATTATACCGAACATTTTATCGAATGGAGGTAAATTTGGACACATATCACATAAACGAATTCCATCCGATGAATTTTCAAATGTAACAATAGCATCTTTATTTGGATCTAAATCAACACACATCAATGGTTCAGAATTTAATTGAAAATCGTTTGCTTGCAAAAGAAGATATTTTGTATAAGAGATGTAAGCATTCAATGCTGGCACTGATTTGTTTGATTCATTAATTATTGGTACGGATTTTTCGTCAGTATCCGCGTCGTCATATTCTAAAAAAAATGATAATGTATTAAGGATTTTCGAACTAGAAAACATTCTGTTTACGTACGAAACTCATAAATTGAATATTGTTCATTTTCAATCAGCGTTCGATTATTACACTTATTTGTTGCCCAACACGAACTAACAATTGTTGTAGTTGTCATATTAAAAGAGTTATCATCTTCTTCATCATCATCGTCTCCATTATCTTCCTGCGCTTTCTGGCTCAAATGATTCCACATACAAAATCGTTTCTGTCGACTTTCACACCATTGCAAACATTTCGTCAGCGTCAAGGGAATAGACGATTTTCGTCGACCATAGCCCAGACATAGATAACCTGCTTTTCCATCCATGAACACATTCCAGTGTTTGTTTCTGATCGTTTCTATTCGTCAAAAAAAATATCATGAATTTTATCTGATAAAAAAATATATCGCCATAGAACATACCTGTTTTACTCAATCTCCACAGATTTGGATTATTCGATCTAGGTGAAACACCAATAACGGCTTCATTTTGTTGTTTTGAATGTGCATCCAAATTAATAATGGCGACACTTCGATTTGTTTGAGCATGTTCAATTTCACATAAATTTCCGTCTCTTGTTTTGATTCTAAACTGTTGATGTATATCTGGTGTATCATGTGACCATTGATGCAATTGTCCAGAACCACCACCAGCTTGTCCTTCGACAGTCAATGCTTTATTCGTTGCTACGCATGTGATCACATACAAATTCTCTTGATCGCTAGCATCTTTGTCGACCGATAAAAATTGCCACTCTTGATTTTTAGTTTCACTTTTTGGCCTCAGAACGATGGTTGAATGATTGGTTGATGTTGAAAATTGTTTGCAATGCAAGAAACCATATTGAGAAAATATTTTATATGATTGATTCGCTTCTATTTCACATACAATTTCTTCGTCCGATGAATTCGGAGATGTATCAATCATAGCTTTTTGATCTTGGCAATTTTCACTTCTATTACCGCAGCTAAAAATATATTCTGTAGGTGCAACTAAACCTATCATCTGCACCGTATTTTCAGTTACAACAACTGTCTTGAACCTTTTCTACTCCATAAAAATCGGATCCTCTGGATTACCTTTGCCATAGAATCAAGCAAACTGATTCGAACGGATAGAACAGAATTCAAGTAAAGTGAGGTATCTTTGTAGTTAAGGTCGGGTGGGTTTCAAATTCGATACAGTGTAGATAGTATATTGTTCTTGATGCGCAGTGATATCAGCTTAATGAGATATTGGACAAAACGGCGAGTGAAGTAATCGTGTTGCTGTTTTGACAAGGCATTTCTTATGCCGATGGTTCACAATGACGATCATCAATGTGGCTTTGTATTTCTGCGCTTCTCACTCAGTCTCATGGCATCTTTTCTTTTTGTAAGTAATTCAGTTTTGATAGGTTTGTAGACACGGTAATCTGGACGGAAATCGCTACAGGCATGACAACGGATGCAAAAGTCGTAACCACACAGGATACTACTATAGTGCATCTCATTTGAGCTTTGATTTTGTTTTGCACTCTATATGAACTATCTTTTAGCAAAATGAATGTTTCCTGCTGAACTTGAGGCGTTTGATCGAGTATATGGCTTACAAATTCTGCACTTGAAGTCTAATTTACCTTTGCAGGAACTATTAAAAATAATATATGCAGATTTTGCAATATTTACGAAGGCACGCGACGGGACGTAAACAAACTTATAGTTATGCCGAAAGGTTTATCCACTTGATTCTTATCATCGACGCTTCTTTTAATCTACCATTTACATATTCGAAACAAAAACAAATCTCAGAATTACATTTTCCCGAACTCTTCTTCGTAGGAATAAAAACGGTGCATATCACTTGTGGACGAACAAATTTTAAATATACAGTCTTTCATGCTAGAATATACAGTCCCGCAAGCGCTTTTCTCACGATTAAACTCTGAAACTGCAGAAAACATTTCACGCTTCATACAACAATATCCCTTCCGCGACCTTTGAGATGATCACTATTTTACCATCTAATAGACGTTCATATACTCACCATTCATATTGACCACAACAAGTATTAACATCGTGACAATCGCTAACTAAATAAACAAAGATATTTGACATTTTTTTTCGGATGATCATGACCAACCAGTACTATATCCATTACAAGCAGATTGTATTAATAGGATTTGGCCCACTGTGAGATCGCAATTTTCACCAAGAGTCGGATTCAACGATTGCAACTGAGCCACTGTTATCGAATTTGCTTGTCCGATACTCCAACAAGAATCTCCGGATATAACTGTATAGGTTTTTCCACAGGGCATTGATTCGACGGAGCAAGCAGGTTGCATTAATAGGATTTGGCCTACTGTTAGATCGCAATTTTGACCAAGACTAGGATTTAGCGATTGCAATTGAGCTACTGTTATCGAATTTGCTTGTCCGATACTCCAACAAGAATCACCGGATATAACTGTATAGGTTTTTCCACAGGGCGTTGATTCGACGGAGCAAGCAGGTTGAATTAATAGGATTTTACCTACTGTGAGATCACAATTTTGACCAAGGGTCGGATTCAGTGATTGTATTTGAGTTACTGTTACCGAATTTGCTTGTCCGATACTCCAGCATGAATCACCGGATACCACTGTATGGATTTTTCCACAGAGCGTTGATCCTGCAGAGTAAACAAGCTGTATTAATAGTACTGGATAAAATAACAGACTAGGATGAATTGAAGCAGGGTACAAAGTGGGTAAACAAATATGTGACTCTGAAAGTGTTTGTTTTAAGCTTTTAGGAACCGAGAAATTGAGGACGGGAGTAAACTAAAATGTATGGTGGAGCAGGTCTTGAACCTCAGCTGGTGAGCTTGAAAATACTGAATTCTCGAAAATAATAGAGGTACCTCGCTCAGGATTTGTAGTTGACCTGATTTAATCATAAAGCTGTCGAGTTCATCCTTTTCTAAAATGGAAGCTATGACATCAATGTTTTCAATACAGGCTTGTGACACATTTGTCCACGCACTGACACCAGGTACTTGTGTGTAACAATACGTATGGTTACAGTAATTTCTTTAGTGTCTAACCTGTATTTTTACAAAAGTGTTGGTATCGCTCCATGGATACAGAAGGATAAATTGTGGACAAAAGTGAAGGAAAGAAAAAAGAACTCGCGATTATCTTTTTCTTTTCTCTTGTAAAAATTCCAATTCTTCGTCCTGAAATCAAGGCGTGAGTGAAAACGAGAAAAAATGTACGGAACTTTAATATTTTCTTTTCTTACAAAATTAATGTAATTTTTTTCTTATAGACACATGAGCTTTATCGTACAATCAAAAACCTAACAAATGTTTTGTTTTAAATCATGTGAAGACCAATTTATTTGCCTTCGAAATTTATTTCAACTCTGTAAAAAAATATTGACTCTTATTTTTTAGCACGAAACTGTTCATTTCTTCTTTTGTAGTTTAATTTTTTATCCTTCATTTTAATTTTACTTGCTATATTTCCTATTTATTCAAGTTTTGTTTATTTTCTTAATATCTTTTTTTACTCATTTAATATTATAGCTTTCATTGTTTCTTTTTTCATATTCTATTTACAGTAAAAACTCTAATACTGAACACCCCTCCTTTACGAAAAACATGCCATACTGAACACCTTCTAGTCCCCCCCTCCCGTGCCATTTTTGCTGGTTTTGATCCCATGCTTAGTGAAATCCTCGCGATTCTGAATGTGAACACTTGTTTTGTGGTCCCGGCTGTACAGTTGCCCTCTTTAATGTGAACGTTATAAAGGGCCCTGTTAAACTTCGAATTCACACGATGTATTTCTATTTCATTGGGTAGTTTTGTGATTGACTTAGATAGAAACAGAAAAAAAATCAATCTCGTCGATACATAATAGAATTACTTGTTGTATGTTTGTATGTTAATGTTAAATTATTAAATATGACAATTCATCGTGAGCTTTGTTTAGAAGAAAAAATAAATCTAATAAAGAGAAAGAAAATGGGCTTTCTCATCGAAAAATAAGTGATCAATTTCAAATTTCAATTGGAGCTGTTTCAAATATTTTAAAAAGAAAATTAGAATATATAGATGATTACGAATTGAATAGAAATTAAAAATTAAAAAGAAAATCCAAAAATGAATTTAGTCAAGATATCAATACACAAGATCCATGAAGTTAAAATTTATGTACTTAAATTTTTTTCTCATACTGTATGTGGACTGAAAGAATTAAATGAGTAAAAATCTGTTGATCAATAGTAAAAGATTAGAATATGTGATTTAAATAAGAAAAAAAACGTTTTTTTTTGCATATACCACTTCCTATGTGATCACCCTGTCATTATGAACGATTTATGAAAGTCCCACTGGTGTTCAGAGTAGAGGAGTTTTACTGTATTTTAATTTCATACTGTGCGTAAGTGTTTCTCTGTTTTTGGAGTTTTTATTGTTATGCAATAATGAACTCTCGTTTTCATTAGAAAATTAACACGGGCATGCCTGTGACACGATGGCCGTATATGTATTAGCATATGACTCACTAGTGTGTCGTATCGATGTGTTAGAATAAAACACATTGTTGTAGTCTTATACTGCCAATATTTACCCACTTACCAACCAGTAGCAGTCAATATCTCTGCTTTTTGAGTTAAATTAGCAATGAATTAGCAAAAATATTTCTATCATTTCTGTCGTTAATAGTGATGAGGACTTGAATTTCATAGTTGTGCACTCTTAACGTAACCACGCTCACAAAAGCCTATTGAATATAATGAACTCACCAGTGACCATCGATGTTAGCAAACTAAAAATTAGCAATTGTTGCATTTGGAATTTAATCCACTTATGTAGAAAATGCGTTGTTGTTCTTCACTCCAACGCTATGTGATCTGTTTAGATTCTGACGAATTGAAATCTCGTATGTACAACCAATGCAGTAAGTAGACTCATCTATTTATAGACGTTCGTGCTAAAACAACATGGTATTTTCGTAAGAGCTGTTGTCTGTGCAAAAAATTGTTTTCTCTCACTTATACAATTACTCACTAATACTGTGAGTTGTAACTGACACCGCATACTATACTCTCTCGATTTTATCTAGGCAAAACAAATTGTTTTCTCTCACCTTACAATTGCTCACTAATAATTTGGACTGTAATCGAAACCGTATGCTTTTCTCTCTCAACGTTATCTGTACAAAAATATTCAGTTTTGCTTTCTCACACATCATCTATAGTAACTGACTAGTGATCTATTGCGTCTTCGCTCATTTTTTTTATTATTTGTTCTATGATTATCATGAGATCTGTATTAAGTTTTTGCTTACTTCAAAACAACGAATTAACGGCAATAACATGTCTGCTCTCACTGTGGCAATCTGGAACCCATCGCGGATGATCGGTGAGCCATTCTCTAATTGGATATATGTACGAAGTTCAATATAAAAGAAGATCATCAAACTTCTCACATGTTCTGTATTTTATATAATCAGGCATCTATTACTTTAGACATTGAATTATTAAAAAAATGATAATCGAATGTTGTATTTCCACTCAATGAATAATATCATAATGCAACCTGTAAAATGAGATGTTCCTTTTGAAAGTCATCTAAAATATTTTATTATTCGTATTCAAGATTTAGCTTCTAGTTCCATGATTTATCAGACCAGGGGTGGCGGAGCGTCATTGAGCTAGGTGAGGCTCATAATATATTTTTTTCTACCGTGGAATTTTATGAACGCATCAAGCAAAAAATAAGTCTTCTTTTTATTGAACTGCAGTAAAAATAAAAATGGTCAGTATAAAAAAGATGATTGGAAAATACCAAAAAAGACTTTTTTTGCTCCTGCTTTGATGCACAAATAAAAAATAACAATATTCAGTACAAAAGTAAGTGAGGCTGAACCTCATCTTGTGAAATCTAGGTGACGCTCAAGTCTCATGGGTCTCAGTGGCTTCGCCGCCACTGGCTCAGCGTAACAAATCTTGAGAATAGAAAATAACAATTTGCAATCTGAAATCTAGATGAGGCTGAGCCTCATCTGCTGAAATCTAGGTGAGGCTCAAGCCTCACCTGTCTCAATGGCTCCGCCGCCACTGTATCAGATAAGTTTAAATATGTTTTTCATTGAAAGTAAACATTGGTTGCATTTCTTATTGACATGAATGAGAGAGAACATGACGACAGTTCATTTGAGAGAGTTGATCGTATTGCCTAATTGAGTAAGAACGATTTTTCATAATAATTTATAGCGAATTATTTATTTTTCCTTGTTTTATTCAGTTTTTCAGTGTGATCGAAATTCAAGACTTGCGAGAGAATAATCGGCTAACATTCATAGCGAATATTGCTTTTTTAAATTCTGTTTTTGTTTTTGTACTTTTTTTCTAATAAACTTTGAAAATTCACATAGTTAGTTTTATACTCAATGAAAAGAGGAGGAATTGTGTGACTTAGTCTAATTATAACTATTGTAAGCTCTCACACGTATAGAACGCAAATCTTTAATCTTCGTCTAACATCAGAGTGATTCACCATTGATGCTAACAACTATGTTAACTACACACATCTCCATTAAGTATCAACAATCACATCCTGAAGATTGTATGTTGCAGAGAATTTCACGGGACATCTTCTAAAATAATATAGCTCGATAGTATAAAAACTAACGAAGCTTCTGTCAAAATATTGAGATGACCGTTTATGTGCTAGCACATCCGTTATATTTGCAACTTGTAATAAATATATTTTTTGAAATTATAGCAAATAATTCAATGCAAATAAACATCACGGCATCATACTCGCGACTTTAAATAGCAACCGATGTCATTCATTGCCCTTAAACTATGTTGATCGAACCCACGTAAAGTACTCTGAGAACGAAAAATCTTCTGTAAGTTTTCTTAATGTTTCACCGGGTGGGGTAACAAAACAGGCACAACAGAGAACGCTAATGCTACCTTTCATAAAAAGAAAAAGAAATTTTTGTCGTTTTCATTGTTTAGTTGAAAAAATACCAGTATTATATCGAAAGAAGAAACAAATTGAAAGTGCCTATTACAAGATCCATTGATTCGATTCAGTCTAATCTTAAATTGCCGGTTTCTGCTTTAAAAAATTTAGTTTCTCCTGCGATACTTACGAGTTGAACGGGTTTTTTAAAAGTATTTCTCTACAGTTCTAACAGAAATATCACTATCCTGTTGCGTGCAATGCAACTCTAGTCATAAAATGTCCACTTCTGTTTGCTTATATCTAGTTTGCCTTTAGTGCCAACTCAATTTCACAGGAACTTTACGTTAATTGATTACAACATGATTCATTTTCTTCAATCATCATGCCATACAGTTGTTCAGAATTGTAAATTCTTTCGCTTTTGATTAATATTGCGCACACAAGGACTCATTATGATAGATATGCTTTTGTAAAACAATCTGCATTGAAAAGATGCTAAGTCATATTGACAACAAAATTTCCTAACCTACATCAATACGCAACACTGTCGGATTCTTACATGATCTGACATCGATTTGTCTTGCTGTTTTTTTGTTCCGTCAATATCTGGTAAATGATCCTAATAAATTCCAATGAGTGTGCCTTCTCACTACTCAGACTATCTTAAATGATGCAGCTGATGTTAATGCAGTACTCTCATTGCAATGTATTATAGTTGGTAGTGAAATCTGACGTGTTGTGTTTTTTTTCCACAGTATTGCAATTATATTAGTGAAAATATCGCCTGTAGCCTACGACAACAAAATCAACAAACACCACATGAGATTTTTACTTTAAAGACATACTAAATCTATGTTCGTAATCATGACTTTATCTCTTGGTGCTGCAATCTAGGGTTGTGTCAATATTTGAATATACTAAAAAAGTACGATTAAAATAAACAGTGTTTTATTTTATTTCAGCTGCGCATAATCCAAGATTAGTATAAATTGTGCTGCATGAAAAGTGGCCATACACAAAAAGTTTTTATTATTCCAGTTGATTAATAAAGGTAATTTTTTTCCATAAATCTGCATACCCATTCAGACAACCATTCAATGTCAGTGTGCGACATTATAATAATTAAGTAGAATGAAAATTATTATCTTTCAAATCTACTAATTGATAGAATTATGTGAGAGTGTACAATTAGGGTGCCGTGTATTCAATATAATATATTCTTCCAAGAGCAATCAACATAATACGGGACCACTTCTAAGCTTTACGCAGCAGACTATATATTCCAAAGAAAATCTTAGGTGTTTCATATAGTCGTTACATACCTTAAAGCAAAAATTTCTAAGGATCTTTGACAAGACCCAATAAATTTGTACACATCTCTGCTACAGGTAAGTACTCGCATACTTTTTAAATTTTCTTAGTTTCGAGAGATTTTGGCATGTAATCAGTGTTAATAAAGTATACTTGAGCGCATTTCAACTGATGTGCAACATAAAAATATAATCAACCGAAAAGCATCTAAATACTTCATTCATGCGATCTAGGTCAAACCATTTTTCAAAATCCCTCCGATAAAAGAATCAACTATTCGATTCTTTTATCAAAGAGTTTCTCACCGACTTTTACTTTCCAGAATAATATTCTCTACAATGATTTCCTAAATCCAAGAAGGTTCGGTGGGCAGAAACTTAACGTCTAAATAGTTATCATTCATAACATGATTGCATAAGTAGACGCATGAACACAGTTAAACATGTATACACTATAGAAATTTATTATCTCTGTATGTCATACGAATAGATTAATAATCGATATACACGCGTCGAATCCGCATTCAGCGGGCCTTCATGTCATTCTTAACTGTAATTATCTTTTGTGCTACTATTTTTTGTGTGCAAAGTGTTACGTACAATATCAATAGTTCAACCACGAACTGGCAAACAATTCTGTCGAATTTGAAAGCGGGTGATATTGTTACCATACATCATGGCACCTATGTAACACCGGGCTTTTTTCAGCTGACATTGAACGGTACCCTCAACAACCCGATTATTATTCAAGGTGCACCCAATGAGACACGTCCTATTATTCAGGGCCCTGTGGCTGGTGCAAATGCACAAAATGTCATAAATATTCAAGGATCGAATTTCATGGTGAAAGGAATAGCATTTACCAAAGGTTCAAGAGGAGTTCGTCTCGGACCCGCAGGTACGTAACTTCAGGATTACTAGTGTTTCTCAGTACTTCATTTTTTTCATATTCTACATCTAGTTACAAGTAATGCAATTTTCGACAATATTTACATTTTCAATACCACAGGAACAGCATTTTCAGCTAACGATAATGCAAATGAATACGTCAACATAACATTGAAAAACAGCGAAATAACAAATACAAATGCTCTGGGTAAGAGTTGCCATTGATTTGCCTCTTCATTAATATTTCGACATTGTTTTTGCTAAGGTAGCTGCCACAACAAGTGAATGTGTTTATGTCGGATGTGTGAGTGATGAATGTCGAATTCGAGATTCTTTATTTCAACACAACTATTGTCATGACACACTCGGTTCGGTTGGAGGATCACGAGCTGGATTCCAAATCAAAGTAAGCATAAATTGGTTTTTGATTCGTTAGACGCATTCATATTGTTTTAGCCTGGCTCATACAATGTCATTATTCGTAATAATGTCTGTTACAATGTTGTTGGACCTTGTATTATTGTTTATGATGACTATGATCATGGCCGAAATTTAATTGACGGAAATTTAGCAATCAATGCAGGCACAGCTGACATCGGAATACAATGTACATCGGGAGCAACAATCACTAATAATATTGTGATTAATTCCAGTACGTAAAGAAGTCCTTTACAATAGCGCAGACTGTTCTCTTACAAACAGGTTTATGTAAGCATGTTATGAGAGCCGCAAGATTCATTTTAATTCGAATATAATTGGCAATATCTTACTACTATTCGCTGCTTAGACAGTTCAAAAATCAAAAGCTATAAAAGTAGCTGACTAACAGAAACAGTTTAGATAAAAATCAAAATGTTTTCAAATATATGAAGCTGTTTTCTTCATAACTCACTTAAAGATCTTCTATATGGTTGGAGTGTGGTCAAAAGCACTAATAAAATTTCTCTAGGAAATTGAGCAAAATTATGAGCATTGGAAAACGAATAAGAAGAAAAACTACTGTTTTTAATTATTTTCTGTTACTAGATCTAGCTGGAATTGGCGTTATAGTCAACTCGCTATATCCTAATGTCAGCTACACTCGAAATATAACCATCAATCAGAATACAGTTTATATGTCGCAAGCAGATGCTTGCCTTCGTCTGAATAGTGTTACAAATAAGAACATCACAATACTCAACAACGTATTCTATTGTGGAAATCAACCATCAATCAAAGCCTCCAATGATTTGACTGGTGAGTTTTTCATGATACTATATCATTGTACTTTCCAAACAGCTAACTCTTTATTGTTCTAGGTGCCAGGATTTATAATAATGCTACCAATGGCAGTATTAGTGCTACGGGCATTTCATCATGTGGAACATTTGCAATATCCAGCAATGCCTTTTTAAACGCTGCAGCAACCAATTTTTATCCAGCATCAAGTTCTCTTCTAATCAATAAAGGTGTAAATCTACGATATCAAGCTTTTTACGATTACAATGGAATGCCACGATCCATCGTTACGCCAACAGTTGGTGCATATGTAAACAACTGTGATATTATTTTATTGATTTGTTATTAATCTGCTGTGTTTATCTGCTCCATAGGAATATTCTACTACAAACAATCCTGGCTGTCCGGTAATAAACAATTTCAAATGTGCCTCATCTACGGCTTCTGTACCACAGTATCCTCTTACTCCTTAAACCTTGACGTTATCTTCGATCAGACTTCATTCACTTTCATTATAATACTATATATGCCTAGCAATATATATTGAAATTTAATCTATTAAAATATGCTTTTTTAATAGCTTTTAGATTGCACACTTAACATTTATTACTCATACTTAAGCGTTTCCTCAATAAAAGAATAACTCAAACTAAATATTTTCCCGGATGTTCGAAACAATTCGTTAGATTTAGAGAAAATTAGGAATTCTCAACATTTGTCTATTTTTCGCATTGGGATGTGTATGAACAAACATGATATCAATATTTTGATTTTTCAAAGTAAATTTTATCAAGAGATAAGCATCAGTACAGCATGATTCAATACAGAATTAGAGGAAAATCTAGAGGGCGATGATGTGTAGATCATGCATCGATGACTCCAGATATTGGGTTTTTTTTACCATTGTTTGAGCTTTGCAACTATCAAGGATTCAGAACTCACGAAATTCAGCTACACCTTTCTTTACTCTAGTCTATGTTAAAATATTTTGGACATCTGAGATTCTCAGATGTGATACCGCGTTAACATACATATATAATCTCAATTGCACATGTCACGATGAATAAATATTTATGTCCTTTTTTTATTTCTATATGGACAATCACACGAAGAAAATACTCTCATATTTCACTTTCTCACATATTCTGTATTCGCAGTATTCAGGCGATCAAATATGCCGAGTGTGAAAGAAATCGATATTTTATTTTTTAGCAGCTGAAATCTTATATTTCAAATGATCTGACTCTTCAGGCAAAATTTCAGGCCGTTTTCACTGATTTTATTTATTAAGAAAGACATCGTAAGCGATTCTCCATCAGACGAAGCTAAGAATCAAATAGGTTGCTCGCCAAAATCTATAGCGCATACTCATAAGAGATATGTGGTGTCATGCTTATTATGTTTTCGTGATTGCGTCGATCTTTGTACAATATGGTTATCCGATGAATATCAAGAAAAGCCAATTCGATACGATTGTGATCTTCGGAGATTCTAACTCTGACACAGGAAACATTTACAATATGACACGAAATCAAATGCCACCGATACCTTACTATCAAGGTAGATTTTCGAATGGTCCCATTTGGGTTGACAAGTTAAATGTGTCCAGTCTAATCAATTATGCACATGGCGGTGCTACAACAGACAACGATTTTGTTCAAGGTTCCATACGGCCTCTTGTTCCACGTGTGCCAGGTGTTCGTCAACAAATCAAGACTTACATGGATAGTATGAATACCAGTGATATTGACTTTTACCATACTCTGTATGTTGTTTGGGCTGGCGGTAATGATTACCTTGGCAACAGAACATTGAGTCCATTGAAGATTGTAAATAGTCTATCGAATGCATCCGAGGCTCTCATCATGTTTGGAGCTAAGCATCTAGTTCTTGTCAATCAGCCACCTCTTCAAATAATCCCTTACTTTCAAACTTTCAACTCAAACATTTCGCTTTCAAATCTTACAAATCAATACAATGATCATCTGTTAACTAACATAAGAAAACTTCAGGGAATCAACACAGTAATGTCTCTCAAAGTCTTTGATCTTCATTCACTCATCACTAAGATTCTTGTTAATGCTTCTGTGTATGGATTCACAAGTACAAACAGTTCATGTTGGTATCCACAGCTGAGTGTCACTACTGTTTGTAAGAATCCAGAATCATATGTCTTTTTTGATGACGTTCATTTTACGACACGTATGCACGAACTTATCGCCGAAGAATTCCGTCCATTTACCAGTGTTTCTGGAGGAAATCATGTTTCGATGTCGTTTCTTGCTATCTGTGTATGGATATTGTTAGCACAGTTTTCATCATCGACATAATTCAATTGTAATCCATTAGACCCTGACAAAGATTTATACCACAGTAATTGTGCTATATTGAACAAGAATTAACATTTTCTTATATGAAGTATTTTTCGAGAAAAACGTGACTCATCCTTGATTGATAAACTGTTGACAAATAATATATATCCATTGCGAATGATGCTGAAAACAAAGTGTTTGATTGAACATGTTAAGTTGTGGAAAAAAAGTACGTTGGTCGTAAGGTTTGCTAATTATTACAAGAAAGGATAGCTTTTTCCTATTTGAGGTTATATATTCACTAAGCATCTCACCCGCATCGTATCAGTGTTAAAGAGAATTAACAAATCTCAATTATTCATGGCGAATATATCTTTTATTTTCTTTCTTTACGTGCCGAGAACTTACCTGTTTGAATCTCGAAAATCTGAACACTAAAAGTCGAATTCATTGATCATTAGTAGAAATCAACCCGACTTACGCTAAATATTCTCTCATTGTTAAAGCGTTCAGACAGCTCTCCATATCTTAAAGTATTCACAACGACGAAAGTTATAAGTTATAATCCATGTGCATGGCATTCTATCATAAATTATAATTTAAATTATCTCACTAGGATTGCATGTAATTAAGAACAATGACTGGATTCCATCAAGTTTTGATGGCATGAATATGCATATGATTTTGTCATCTATATGTGAGCCATTTTATTACATGATTTTACCAAATCTCTTGAAATTTTCTCCGCTAAAGGAGATTTGTGTTGGTAAAACTAGTTTTGAAGATCATACTAAGCGTATAAATGATTAATAGTTGTTCCTATTCGTATTTTGTTTTTGGCTTCACCGACAGATTTATACTCAAAATCCAACGAAAATAAATTACTCCATCGATTACAGATCTAATACTTATATAGCAATACGTTAACAAGAAAAGTTTGAGCATCAATAGATTACTAAGCAAAACTTGAACAACCAGCTACACCAAACATTTTCATATATTCTAATTTATAAAGCTATTGTAGGAAAAAAATATAAATAGTAAATTAGATGTTCATGACAAAACATTTCGCTGTCACATAATGATTTTAAAAATTGAAAAAAGAACATTTCTAACCAAATGTTATAATGACTCAAAGGAACTTTGATCTTTTGTTGAGTAATAAAGCGGCAGTTTTATAGTGCATAATCAGGACGAGTCACAGTGATAGATAAGAATATCGTTATACATTATTACTGACAAAATTAATGTTTATTTAACCATCGAGATCACGAAAAACTGCTAGTTATTAATATTTTCCGGTGCTTCAGATTTTGACGGTTGAGGCTTGCGAACCTCTTTGAAATAAATTACCCATAAACAGATCCAATGACATGACATCAATACAACCAATGCCGAAACGATCGCCTATGCCTTAGAATAGAAAATAGCATAGAATCTATATTATTCTAAAATCTTTCTTACTTTCCATGATTCATTGATATCTGTTCTCAATTTCACTAATGCATACTGGACACAAGCAATCGCACCCCGTTATCGTCCACATAAATCCGATCAAAGTACCCAAATGCTGACGTGGAAAACTATATAAAAAAAACTTCTTAGTCTGCTAAATCATGTATCCGCTTCATCAAGAATGAAAGGATCTGTAGATTTATCTATGTTGTATAGCAGACTTGCAAGGTAGCCACGTCTGCTTGTGTACCAGCGACAACTGATGAACGGCCAAGAACGAACAACACTGATGCTGGAATGATGGCGCCAGTTTTGACGAACATACAAACAATACATATCGATATATTCAATATCCATGTGCATGTTTGAAAAATTGAAACAGCCAATAGTTCTCGTTTTTTACCTGAAAATTAATTTCAGAACTATAGACAAGTACTGAGATCGAAATATATTCCTAGTATCGGCTAAAGATTTCTGCATAATGTCACATGGATTCTAGTGGCAAACTATTCTTTAAATTTTCGTACTGTAGTAAAATATTTATTCTAGTTTCGCATTGAGTTTAATGAAATGACATATGTCAAACATTGTTCCGTTTCTATGCTCATATCTGTAGAAAGTGAAAATTGCTGAACAACTACTTATGATTGTATACTTAAAATGTGCTCACCTACAGAAGAACTTTGACAAAAGGATTTGAATTTGCTGTACTTTTGCATGGAGCCTAGAACAGTATCTTTCCGTTCATCAGCAATTGCACGAAGCGGCATTCAAGTTAAGTGGAAAGTATATTTGTGAAAATGTCAGCAAAACTACAAATAATTAAAATCCCTTTCTTACTATGATATTTTGCCTATTATTAGAGGTGACACTTTACGTGAATTTAATATTAACTGTTAAGAAAAACTACTTAATTAATTCAAATTAAAATCAACGGTCCATCCCGAATGCCTATCCTCCTTCTCATTAGCACCTATCTCTAATGTTTTAAATGTTAACTTTCTCTTTGTGCGCGTACTGTTTCATCTGAGCAATACTTTTCTCTTTCATATGTTCAGATGTGTTAATTCAAAATTAAAATGATTCATGCCCATTTGAAAGAAAGCAACGAACATTTATTCGAGTTTTAACTATTTTCGGAAAGCTTCCACAACCAACTTTTTCTCATCGTTCATAGAGAGTAAGAGATTGTTGTGTGGCTAATTCTTTTGAATTGATGGAAACAGTGATTACACCGTTGAAATGTTTTTATACATACCTCGGTTTGGTCGAATTGTAAGTAAAAAAGCAATAATTGGGCACAAACCAATCAAGGATAGCAATGACATATTGAATGCAAACGAGTATTTATCAGCTAAAATGCAATAATCGACAATCATAATGTGAAATTCTGACAATAGAAAGAATTTTAGCGTAAACATTCACTTAAAGCGGAGAAGATATGTAACAATTAAGCCAATCCTGACTGTTACACGAAATTAGTTATTGGCCAGCCTCATACGGGCACAACTTCTGTTTTTCGAATAATATTATTGCAGGTATGTGTAGTAATATGCTTTTCAATACTAAATTAGAATTTTCAAAGATTTATTGATCAGACTTTTACCATCTGCATTAGTTATTTACAATCAAACGAGCATAAAAATGCTAGCGACTACTGATTTGCCTATAGCAATAGTGCAATCTATTTTATTGACAACTTATTAACTTTTGCTAATGGTTGGACCAATCCTTCCCTTTCTCTGTGCAGGTTGATGACCAGACTTCGATCATCAACCATTTAATTATCAATACATTATGATCCTGTTTGTTTTTATTTTGCGCATTAATATTTCCATACAGATAAAAATATGATTTATCCAGCATTCAAACAAATTCATCAAAAATTATCATAATTCTGCATTCGAAACGTATTTGTGTGGTAGTTTGCTTTGTTTCGAATTCAATATCAATAAACATCTGAGCTATTTTGTTAATCTGTAAAGCATTTCTCATCATAATATGTTATTTTAGATTCTTGCAATATCTTGCTGTGGAAGATGAATAGATTGTAACTCTTTCGTCTACTAGGAGCTTTTTTTTAAATATTTTTTATTCATTTCAAAAATGTCTCATATCAGTTCGTTAGAGCCAGGCGATAGTTTCCTTATAGGCAAGACTTCAAAATGAATTTGTGATCGTCCTGTATAAAAAAAATAACTCAGATCAGTTACTGCTAATTCTTCATTGGTACGTGTTGCATATTCTAATATCAATTTGCTTGAAAAACAAGAGCCATATCGAGATATTTTTCTTTTGTATATTGAAGAAAATAATAAAATTAAAATGATTTATCGGATCTTTCATTTATTTATTTATTTATATTCTTTTTCTTCTTTTGTTTTTCTCTAAAGATATTCATTATAATCAAAAGTTTGATTATTGTTCGCGCATATCACGTAAACGACGTACAGCCGAACGGACAGCAGCAGCTGTTGATGTTGAGTAAACATAAGCACCGCCGGCGACTGTTTTTTGGCATGAACGACATTTCCATATACCAACACATTTTCGTTTCATGTTGTCTTTACCACAAAATGAACATGTATATTTCGAGTGTTGAGTAACTTCCATTTTCTTAACCATTTTACGTAATGATGCACCATAACTATTTTCAATCGAGAAAATATATCGAGAACAATATATAAATTCTATTTACCGTGTGCCATATTTACCAACAATTCCGACTTTCTTAGTTCGTTTAGCCATTTGTTAAATAGAAGCAAGTTCTTGTCGAACGAAAGTTGATATGAAATCTGTTCGATCTGAAAAGAAAAGTGAAATCAGTAATTCGCTAGTTTAACTTTTTCTGTACAAACAAAATGAAAAACAAAAAGAAAACAAAAGAAACAAATTTATTTATTTTTTCTTTTGTGCTGTTTTCGCTGTTGTACGACGCGATGTTAATGGAGCAACTTGTACATCATCTAATGTTAACGATGGCTGATCGAAACGATAAATATCATCAGCGAATAATTCTTCATCTAATGGTTTGCCATCATTATCATCTGGATAATACGTAGGAAACGGTGGATGATTTTCTTCGGTAAAAATTTTTCTTCGTTCGTATAAAGTTGAATCTTGTATACGCATATAACCATGATTAGGACCAGGCACAGCTGGACCCATTAAATAAAGAATATTGTATTTGGTATTTATACGCCATACTTTCAAACCCTTCATCATAACTAATTTATTGCCCATTAAGCCAGCCATGCGTGTGCCAGGTAAAATTTTATGTTTACGACCAGAACCAACTGTACCGCGTTTACGATGAAATTTTGTGGCACCATATTCATCACTTGGACCACCGCGAAAACCATATCGACGCATAACACCCTATAAATAAATAAATATGAGTATAAAAATGAAATCGCTACTTGAGAAAAGATGACTCATGCGACCTGTTATATTTAATTTTTGTGCGAAAAATATCAAAAGAATATCTCACTTTCATACAATGAACGCGAATAATTGTTTTCTTTTTGTAGACATTTATTATCCTATTGAGAGTATGACTCACTTACATTCATAACAGTGATGAAGTCTCAGGTATGACTATAGTATCCTGTAACTAATCTAATAGATGCTTAGACGATACTAATTCGACAAAAAAAAATGTAACTATACAAATACCTCATGTGTTGTTCTACAAAAACTTTTTATGGAGAAAAATGATCATCGGATTTCATTTACCTGAAAGCCGTAATCTATTGAACGTGCTTGTACATCAACATAATCTCCACAACGAAAATGCGTTGCATAAAGAGGTGTACCAGGTTTAATAACACTATTTGGCGTAATAAAAAATCGCGTCAGTTTACGTTTCGGTGGTACACCTGCTTTTTCAAATAAACCATTATATGCTCGAGTGAATTTTCTTGGATCACATGATAATGCTCCGACAACAAGCATACCAACTTTTCCTTGCAATTCTCGACGTAATGGACGTGTTGTAAATAGAGTACGAAAATTAATCATTTCCGGTGGTGTATAATTAATAACATGATTATCGACAATCTAAATTATTCTTACGATAAAAATTTCTGTTTCTTTTTTTGTCTTTAAATCTTACTTGAATTAATGTGACATAAAATTTTCTACCCTTTTTATCCCATTGTGGTAATGTTCCTAGTTTAAGTCCAAGCGCACCAGTACGTATTGTTTCTGGGTCTGCTGTAAATTTGCCACGTTGCCAAGGACCATCTTTTAGAGGACTTTCTTGTTCAGCATATGTTTCATAAACTATTTCTTGTAAAAATTCATCATTCTCTGCGGTTATTTTTTCGTCCCATCTAAAACAGAAGAATAAATAAATACGAGTTATGGAGAGTGTCTTTGAAAAGTAAACAGACCAACCCGCCTCCACGCCGTTGTACCCATTTGTCATTGTAAAATTTGTGCCAATGTAGTTTTTTATATCGTAACCTCATTTGCTGATCATTTAATTTGTGGTGTCGAACCGATGCACATGGGATAAAATTCACACCGGCATTTGGAAGTATTCCCGATGATAAATTAAGAAGAGGTCGTGTAAAGAGACGAGTGCACATCGTTTGTAGTGCACGATTCATTTTTAACTATATTGAAAATGATTCTAGTGTTATTTTACATATAACATTCTATGTAAACGTAAAACAAATGACTAGCCTTGATAGTAGCGACGATGACAATAAAGGTTTAGACCACCACCATGCCTTTTTTATTATTATTATAGAGGCCACTAAACGTTTCAATGATGATACAATTTCATAAAGATGTTATATTATATAATTTGAGTTTTTCAATCAAAATCTTATCAAAATTGATACATTTTATTCGAATATGTGTTCATTTTTCCCGATCAATGTAATTTTCGCTAAATATGATTGGTCATGAATGTCCAATACAGTGTTTTTCATGATTTGTGTACCCCACCCCACCCCACCCTACCCCAGTACAACAAAGTGTACGTTTATATTATATACCGTAACTATAAGTATATTACACAGAATTTACCATGAGGAAAATAAGAAATCCTTATTAACCACCAACCATACAAGGTGATTTTTCCATATCGTACCATCTAATAGATTTCTTGTGAAAAGAAGAGTCACAAATCTTCACTTATGATTGCAGATGTCCGAAGGGAAGACTGACACTTCACTATACAAACGTACAACCACACCCTCTGATGAAATTCGGATAGGAATTTTGGTCATATGGTTTCTTGATCTGTGTAGTCATATTCAATAATTATTGTGGAAATTACAAACATTGAATTAGTCTCAATTTGTCTTGAGATTCAGCATGCAAACTTTGTAGAGCAAAAAATTTAGTAATTTCTACGAAAAATAGACTAGACCAAGGTAATGCACTTGTTCGTAAATGATAACTTCACGGAAATCGTAGCCTTTTTCTACTCTGTTATGTATCAGTCTTACCTTTATGTTTGTGCAAAGAGTTAATCTTCTCTATTCGAAGATCCAAAAAATTCGACAGGGATTCTAAATATGATATTCAGAAAATACACGAAGTTTAAATATCTGTTTCATGATATGTTAAATAAAGTGGCTGAACTGGTTAGTTGTTGAAACATTTTCGACAATATTAAATTTTTCTACAGATACTCTTTCTTTTGTATTCTTTTCAAGAGTATCAGTTTTCTTTCCCAGTGAAATATAACGTATTTAAACGACAGATATATCATCGTCTATATATATATTTGTCACATTTTTTAAATAGGGCGAACATCTCTAAGAGACTTGTTAACCTAGTATGGGTTTCATTTGTAAGTGAAATATATCCGTTAGAACACAGCTATGAATAGTTTCTTTTTTCAAAATATTAAAATATTTTCTTTAGGACAAAAATGAAGAACAAATCAAAGTGGCGCCGCAATTATTGATTTAGGCAAATTCCCTCTAAGAAATTCAATAAATATTCAGATTCTAAACAAATAATATATATGATTCTGGATTTGTACTGATTGCCTGTATAAACATTTTTCAAACATACAAAAATGAAAACAAAGAAATTCTTTCTGATATCGTTATTCGAATTTCGAAATAAGTCGATAAGAAATAAAAATGATGAATTTGCTTTACTTCTTTTACCACTTTTATTCTCTTTAGTTCTTGTATTTCCTTTACAATGAAAATGCATGAATGTTGATGTAAGGAAAGAATATGATTCATATATTCACACTTCCACTCAAAATTTTTTGTTTAGTACTCTAAAGTAATAGACAAGAATAATATAATAATGGCAACATACAAGAGAGAATTCAATGATTCATTGTCTTCATGACATTGATTGTGAAGTAGTTAAAGATACAATTTGTTCATTCTTGGTCAAACTTTCTTTTCCTACTGTCCCCATGTGAACGTGAAATCTGTGAGAATCTAGAGCAGTTATACAAAATTTTGAAGCAAAATATGTAATAAAATTAAAGAGAATTTGTATATTTTAGTAATCCAATTTATACCGAGAATTTTATTTTCATCGTTGTAAAAAAAAACATTGGAGACAATTCTTTATAGATGATTGTTGTTTTAGATATTAAATCAAACATTTTTTCGGATTATGAAATGCTAATTAAATATCGAACTGACGTTTAATATCCCACATAAAATGCTAAGCGTAAAAGTCATATTCATAAGATTTTCAGCAGATCAATAGTACATATGAGAAGACTTTTTACATACAAATAAATGGTATCTACTTGACTGCCAACTACTTATGCCAATCGATCAATTCAAGCGATGAATATAATTGACAAGAACGATCCTTGATCAATAATGTCTAAATATTAATTTAGTCGTTTTTCATTTAGAAAAAAAATAATCAATGCAAAAGATATTTATTTTTGCATATTACTTGCGAATTTCTTTGACGAAAACAATATGAGAATTTATTGAACAGTTTTTCTAAAGTATGATAAGAGTTTCAATCATCGATAGAATTGACACGTTTCGAGAAAGAATGGTTGTCACTTAGGTTCTCTCTTCGAAGTTATAAACGAATTTGAATTCTAACTACACTAGAAACTATACTACTCTTATTCAGTATTTTCATATACTAAAATATTTCTATTCAACATGCATTAGGTTCAACGACTCCGACTAGGGTTGGGCCATTAACATTAATTTAATATTAATGTTAATGTTTTTCATTAATCATTAATATTAATGAATTAAGTTTTTCTCAGAAAACATTAACCGTTAATATTAATGGCTAATGGAAATCATTAATTAATGTCATTAATAAAGTTTCGTTAAAAAAAATGGTCCACCCCTAACTCCGACTGATGCATTTTCCATAGATTGAAAGCTAAACTCAACTAATCGTTTGAGTTTTGCCTGATGAATAAAAAGAAAGAAATTTATTTGAAGTTCATTGTTCTCTATTACTAGAATGGTGTTCGATTTAATTTCTAACGATGAAAATCTTGCCACTAATTGAATTGTTCATTGGATTGTCACGAAAGTAAAATATCAATGATCGATTCGATCAATATAGGACTAGAAAGTGTGCAATTTTATAGCGAAATCATTGCTCCTTTCCTTAATTATAGCTCGAATTCAACCGTAGAGAATTAATACAACTGGAACTTTCGAATCCCATTAATTTCAGCTTTATGATACTGTAGAACATTTTATTAATTATAAATGATTATTAATATTACAATATCAAAGGCAAACATATAACCAATCACGAAAACAAAAATCAATTCGAATATTATTACAATCAAATAATCCATTATGAACAGCTGTTATTAATGATTCTTTTCTTATCTGTTCTTTAGATTGACAAAGATTACCTTTGTTTATTACTAATTCAATCAGTCGATGAAATTCATGAATTATTTCTAAAACAAAATTAACTAAATCTGTATTGAGCAAAATATTTGCACCGCCGGTTTCAAGACGACGCAGATGAGGTGCTAATTGAGTTAATTGATGAACATTAAAATAGTGTTCATCTTTCGAATGTACTCTATCTGCTATGAGACGTAAATGTTTCAAATTTGAATATGATTTTGAACAATGACGAAAATCTTCCCACTCTGTTACCAAATGTGAAAGATTTGGTGATGCATCAAGTATTCGCTCAACGATCATTATACGAACTGCGTTTTGTATTGATTCTGGTTCAAAGTTAAAAGTCGTAAATCGTAGATGACGAAGCAACAAGTCACTACAAACTGGATAATTCGGTGTTACTGGTATGTTTGTCTAAAAAGAAAGTAAACATCATATGTGAATTTTTTTATTTTTAAGATATATTTCCTCAAATTAATACGAAAATAGTTCTACATTATTTCAAAATGTGTATATTCATTCTGCAGATTTAATAAATCAATATTACCATATGAGCTCATTGTAAAGTTTTCTTTTCTCTCTTCAGATCAACAAAGATACATGTTTCGACAACTGATATGTAATGAAGCAAATCACCAATGAACATTATAATTCGACGGGAGAAAAGTTCTGTATTGATTTTTGTTTTGACATAGCACTGTGATGAGATAATGCATAACAACGTCACCGAAAATATAGAAAAACGCTTACGTACTTTAGGCACCAATTGTTTTATTCAATGCTTATATTAACGATGAATTTCATGTCATAATAAAAATAACTATTACAGCATATAAGAGAGTATAATGAAGATGGCTCAATTAAAAAGTCCAATTTAGTTGATTTAGATTTTACAACTAAAGAAAAAACGATTAACTTAACATCTCGTAAAGAACCTGAATATTATATCTAATAATATAGTTTAGTCGAGAGGCAGAACGCAATGTCAAATGTTTTAAAATATATAGACAATTTCGCTTGTTTTTCGTAAGCCGAATATTCTATTATATAATATTTAAAGACTCAATAAAATGTGATCGATCTAGTTTGACAAAATATTATCTAATTGCAAAAAACACGTGATGAAACAGTTTTCGAATCCCTACTGCTCGAAAATTTTTCTCATATCTATTTTTGAAAGTATAATTCTTTTATGCTACAATTTACGATAAATTTTCTCCTTCACTTCCCTTATGGCATTAAATTCTAATTTTTTTTTATTTCTAACGGAAATTATTAGAAATCATTTTTTTGCACGATTCGGGAATTCATAGTGACAAACATAATTAGGCTTCAGAAAATATTTAACAATAATAGCTCAAAGAGAGGCGCAGTTTCTCGAGAGCATCTTCGATCAATCTGAATATCCCAGTTCTATATATTATATAAACAAATATCTAATGATGGTTCGTTCTTTATGTGAAGTAAAATTATTCTTAAATGTTTACTAAAACATTTATAGTTTAACTCTGTGCTATCATAAATTGATAAATTATAATTTTTTAAACTCGTTTCCGACATAAATTAAAAAGAATGCTTTAACACTATAATTGCTTTACTTACTCGTCCAACTTCACAGGTTAAATAAAGTTTATTGACTGAACTATTTGCAGCCACTTGTAAATTTTTCAGTAACTTGTCAGGTTGGTCTGTTTGATCATAAGTCAGGCCCAGTGATCGTCGTCCATTGGTAACGATCGGAATACTTGCATGTTCTACTAAACGATGATTATGTAAGGTTCGCTTGTGTTGTAACAATACGTTTATCGGGCGTTTATAGACTACAAATAGCAAGGGGGAGAGTGCTGGCTTCAAGCACCAAAAATTTACTACAAAGTGCTGAAGGTGCTGAAAGGTGTTAGTAGTTGTCGAACAGCTACAGAAAAATAAAGGAGTAGCATACGACAGGATGACTTAATTCTCTGTTAAACTCATTGTTTTTCCACAATCTTGTTGAATACACTAATTCCACAATCAAATCAGAGGTGTGCCAAATTAGAAACCTGACCACTAAAAAACCTGCACTTAATGTTATTACCTTAAGAGTCATCATTGAATTCCGATTATTTTCCGGGAGTTTACTGTGCATTTTTTGTAAAATCAATTTTTAACATCTGGGGTACCCCTTAAGGATCGAACAAACGTTTTGTTCTGATTTTAGTGCAAGTAGTTATATTTCGATAAAGTTAAGTTTCCTGATCACAAATATCATCTTAGATTTTAAAATTCATTGGATACTAAGAACGATCTGAAGCACTCTCGAGAAGACTTAAAAACAGCTATTGTCTCAAAGGTCCATGGATATTCGATTTATACTGTTTGAAAATAGGCCCCCTCGATGCAGAATGTTTTTGTCTATCAGAGTATATAAGAACGACTTAGATATTCAAATTTTGTTTTATCGATAAATGTTAAATACCGCCTCGATTGAGTCATGCAGCTATAAATAATGCTATTCTCAATTTTATGAAATGTAGCTTTTCGAGGTTTACCAGAAAGATTTTCTTACGGGATACGTAATTGAATGTGCTCTTTCTAATAAAACTGTTTTTAAATTAAACCGCCTTGTAATGTGAAGTTTTTTCGCCCCAAGACTACTCTTGAAACCGGATTTCTGTCATTTGTGACCGATATTCGATAGTTTCAAACAGATTAATTCCGACTTGACTGAATTTAAATATTGTATTTATTTTAAGCACAAAATCTAATTTGATTTAATTATTTCTACAACTTTTGTTTTCGGTCAGATTTTCACCCCTGATCCCCGTCATGGATAACGAAAAAAAACTTACTCCAAAAGACATGTGGACAATGTTAAAAGTTTCCGAACGTTGGGAATGATGTTCGAGATAAAATAGATCAATTAATAATCAATCAAATAGTTGTTTTGAATAAAATATTTTGTTTTCATATGATCATGAAGGGCACCAGACGTAAAAATCGGACCGAAAACAAAGTTATAGAAATAATTAAATCATATTAGATTTTGTGCTTAAAACAAATACAATATCTATATTCAGTCGTATACGAACTATTCTGTTTGAAACTGTCAAGTAATAGCCAAGCAGTGACAGAAATTCGATTCCAACACTAGTATCGGTGCGAAAACGCTTTACATTACATCGAGTTTTAAGTTGAAAACTTTTTCACTAGCAAGAGCACATTTAAATACGTATCTGGGAAGAAAATCTAACTGGTACACCTCGAAAAACTACACTTAATAAGACTGAGAAAAGCAGTATTGGTAACTGTATGACCCGATCGGGGTGGTATTTGGAATTTATCGAGAGAAAAAAGATTGAATATCTAAGTCGTTCTTACATATTCTGATAGAAAAAAACATTGTGCATCGGACGGACCTATTTTCAAACAGTATAAATCGAATATTCATGAATGTTTAGGTCAGTAACTGTTTTTCAAGGCTCCGAGAGAGTGCTTCATATCTTTCTTATTATTCAATGAAATTCAAAACTGAGACAATACTTGTCACCAGAAAGCTTAGCTTTATGGAAATATAACTATCTATATTAAAACCAGAACAAAAAAGATTTTTGGACCCTTGAGGAGAAGTCCAGATGTTAAAAATTGAGTTTTCATAAAATACACAACAAAATTGTGGAAAATAATCCAAATTCAATGATGATTTTCAAGCTAATAAAATTATGTGCAGGTTTCTTTTTACCAAGGAGTGCGGCATTTCGTACAATATTTTTTTTCGTACCCAAGAGAAAGCACAAGCTGTACAAATGCCATGGTGATAAAATGAAAAATAAACTTCTGGAAAATAATCAGAGCTCATTATTAGTTCTCACGCTAATAAAAGTGGGATCAAACTTTTTGCGATATCATTTTGAAATTTGATATGCGGTTACTATCGAAGGATGTTTTTCTTTTTCTGTTGACTTTTCTATTCTGAAATCATTCTCATTCAGATTCTGTGAATGATTCAAGAAAAAATTCACCTCTACTATTGAAAATGAAAGTAGATTTCCCGATTCTTTTTCATACGACTGAAGTAAATCTCAGTATAGAAAAGGTGCTGAAGGTGCTGAAGGTGCTGAGGTGCTGGGGGTTCCAAACTTGCACTTCCCCCTTGTTGACAACGATGTTAAATTGTCCTTTACATAACCTGTGATTAAACCAATCAATGGAAATAGCAATTCCTGTCCTCATGAGAAATATCTCTTCATAGGGAACTTATAGAAGTATGCAAAAGATGGATCCACTAGCAATATACAGTCATTTTTAATATGAGCAAAAAAGTTCGAAAACAGCAATCAGCTGATTATTCAGTTATTCACAGGTCATATATTATTCAAACATTTCTTGGGCGACTTATAAAATGAGATTTTCTACAAATTTATTTTTTAGACATCTTCATACTTTTAGATTTATGATTGAGTACAGGGATCACACAAATCACAATCATATTGGATGTATCAATATTATTGAATAATTCTTAATTTTCATTAGAATAATTGATGTTTGATTGAAGTCTTGTGAATCAAATACAGGCGATTTATTTTCTGTTTATTAGAGTAGAAATGAAATTAATAAAAAAAGGAAGTTAAAAAACGTGGACGATGTGCTATGAACCATTTATTCAGAATCGTGAACTCTCAAAAGGGTATGGTTGCATAAAATAAGAGTGTTGTCATTAATGAAAAATCACAAAAAAATCAAACTGCTAGAAATCTTCTATTTCTTAAACAGTGCAAACGCGTAAGTTACAGGTAGGTGACGGATATAATAAATAAACATAGTATGTATTGCAATTTGCTACTTCAATTGAAGTTGACCATTGGCAAGTAGTACTCCAGTCGTAGCATAATGTTCCACTAACAATTGCACCAGAACTTGGCATCGCACTAGCGTACCATCCTGTAGCGCTCGTGCCACATACTGAGGTACCAGGCACATAAGTAGGTATAGTGGTACCACCCGAGCCAGTAAATCGCACCCACTGTCCACTTGAGCTAAAACTCGATGAGTCGCATCCGACGAAGGTCGTGTAAGTGACACTTCTTGTTGCATCTGATATGGTTGTGTAAGACGAACAAGCTGCTGGTAGGTTAGCCGCTAAACGGAATAATAGAAAGAAAACTTGAGCATTTCAATTTTCTCAAACTAGGTGCCGAAATTTTAATTTTCAGCTAATCAAGATCTAATGCAGTAGAGAGCCGCTCGAACTTTTTATCCTGAAGAAGCTCAAAATATAATCCTTAAAGGTAGTGAAATGTGAAACACATTGAATCAGTTTGTGAGGAATCAGAACTAGAAATGATATTATTAACATTAAAAAATTAGTATATAATAAATTCTGTGAAACGTCCCTCCATTAGGTATGAGTAAGCTGAACGGTAATTTCTCGTGCTTTATATTTTCGCACTTGTTTTCTACTGCGCTCTTCAAGATAGCACGAAAATTATAAATTTTCATTGTTTGATATCCGTATCTCCCGAAAAGAAGGAGAGTTTTCTATGAGTTTGTAAGAAATTCGCTACAACAAGACTATGCATGTGATGGTGGGATTCGGTGAGTCAATGAATCTTCCCATTTTTATAACATAGAAGAGGAAACATTTTGCAGCGGTGAATGCAATATCATAGATCATCTTTTACAATGGTACTTGAGCTTCACATTAAGATAAAATATAGTAAAATAATCCCATATAGCTTTGAGCTCAATGGCAAGCAATTATCACTACTTCAAAAATCACACTTTTTAATGCACTTCATAGTTGAGACACCGAATAAATTATGAGTTGCGATTTTATATAGGTAATCGAAATGAAACTTTCGAATGATACAGGCCTCACTCACATCAGTACCGCGGCTAGGAATAACTGAAACACACATGTGATTAGTAATAGACACACTTACTTGTTGTAGTTGTCGTTGCTAAAAGAAATAAAAAAGCGAACTGATTGTTGGTGTGGCTTATTGATCGAAGTACGTACTCGTAGTTGTTGTGGTCGCAGTGGTCGTAGTGGTAGTGGTTGTCGTTGTGGTTGTTGTTGTCGTCGTTGTTGTTGTAGCAGTGGTTGTTGTGCTTGTTGTTGATGTTGTAGTAGCTAGGGAAGAAAGGAAAATTAACATATCATATCATGAGTGGGTGTGTCTTTTTAAAAATATTACTGGAGGAAAGTGTTTCTATTCACACATATATTTCGATCATTGTAAAGCAGCTTACAACGGGGTCAATTCATCGCATTTATTATTAGATTGGAAGATTCTATGTGAAATTGACTTCATGTATACGATAGCAGAGTTCAAAAATAAGTGATTATTGTGGAAACTTCAGAAAGAGATTGATCGGATTTTCAGGAATCTGGATTTTTTTCTCAAGAAATACAGAAAATACCAACAGCGAGAGAACACTCAATAATATTCTGGGTTTAATGATTCGACAATGTTTTTGTATAGAAATATACGATATAGGAACGAATTTCTAAGATAATCACGAGTTGAGAAACGATTACGGTTAGTTTTAGTCAAGGGACAGACATATAGAAAAGAATGCATGGCTGATATTTTTTCACACTGTCCTGATATTTACTTCATTTTAGGTACCACTGAATTAATTATTTTGTTAATTAAGAAATTAATATGACATCGATCTGGTTCAATACTCATGGCCCAACATTTAGTGGGATGATAGTGAAAGAAATCAATGTAAAATAAGGAAATATTTTCCTTTTAAAATCAGGACTAAAAATTGAGTGATGGCGCTGCTTTTAAAATATCACGGTAGTTTTATGCTGAACTCACTTGCTGAATTAAAATATGCTACTAGAAATGGAATACCAAGAGCAGCACCACATACAACAACAACTAGCACAGTCAAAACAATGATCATTGGTTTCCACGGCTTTGTTGGGACGCTTTCCCTAAAATTACAAAAGCATAATTATTAATCGAATCAGAGACACTAATAAAAAAAAGCTCACAAATTACTAGCTGACGGCAAATCTGTTACATTCAATCGAACTTGTTGTATTGATGATTGATTTGATACGGTATTCTAGAAAATCAATTATAACAAAAGAAAATATCGATTAAAAAAAGATGGAAGGCATTGGTAGCTTTTCTGATTTTTTATGTAGTATATCATACTGTGGTATATAACACTTAGAACATTTAAAATCGTGCATGGCGACATAGTTTTCAGTGTTACAAGTAATAATAATATACAGGTTTTTCAATGTGTTAAATATCGGTCCAGGAAAGCTAACAATATGACTTGTTTACAAACGGATGTTAGAACGTAAGTTAATCGCAATTATACCAGACATTCCGAAAGTGTAAGAATTCTTTTAAATTCTATCGAAGTAGAAGACTAGATCAGTAACTCAAATTTTTTCGTCCCTATAAGTAATTTTTGTCTGAAGGGCGAGACCGTACGAATACAATCTCCTCATATTTTTGAAAATCAGCTTCACTGATTTAGATTGTGAAGCTTGAGAGATTCTACCCTTATTGAAAGTATTAGAGGCGAAAAGGATCAGATGCACATAGCAGTTTATAAGATATTCTTAATAAGCATACCGTTCCTTGAGCTGGACCTTGATAAAAACGAAGAGCATACGGAGCAACAGCTTGGGTGCTATTCGCCATTTTTCACAGGTATATGTGCGAATGAAATTTTTTTTAGACGATCAGTTCTTTTTTCTTTCTTTGCATTGAAATTTTTCAAGATTATAAACTGAGCGAAAACGTATGCTTGTGTTTTCTTTGTAGTGTACTTCAACTAATGCAACCAATTCACACAAATTTCACATTTTTGTCGTATGTACGCTTTGCGTAGGCTTAAATGATTCATTTTTAAAGCTTCAATTATTCACGTGTATTATTCACTGATTTATACAGTATGTTTTTTCTAATCGCTTCATTTAAAACTTAAAAAAGCACTATCACCACAATCGGACCGATGCTGAAAACACAATCGTCGTAGAGCAAAACCATTTAAAAGTTTATTCACATGATCTTCTCTTTATTAGGAGTGCACCAAATCCAACTCCAGTCAAATCCAAATTCAATTCTAGAATTGGATTTGACTGGATTTGGTTTGGAGCTGGATTTGGTTAGGGATGTCGTCATACCAATACGGTATTAGGGTATTGATATTGAACCGGGTATTGGTATTGGGCTGATAGTAGGTCGATTGAAAGAAAATCATACTTCTGATTGCCGAAAAACATGAGAATTTTCAAAATTTGATAATCCAGTTCGATTCCTTGACCCCGAAAACCTTCGATCAACCTTTTAAAAAAGTCGCTATTTTGTCAAAATAATCTACCTTAGCTGAAACATTTTCGAAACTTTGATTTTGATTTATCTTAGCCAAGGTGGGGTATTTTGATAAAATAGCAATTTTTTTTAAAGTTTGATGGAAGGTTTTTGGGGCCAAGGAATCGAACTGGATTGCCGGATTTTGAGAATTTTCATGTTTTTCGGTAACGCAGAGGGATGATTTTTTCAATCGACCTGCTATCAGCCCCAACACCAATACCGGGATCAATATCAATACCCCAATACAGCTTTGGTATTGTGACACCCCTATCTACATCCAACTCCAAGTCAAATCCAAATCTAACTCCAGTCAAATCCAATTCTACAATTGGAGTTGGATTTGACTGGAGTTATATTTGGTGCACCCCTGCTCTGCTCTGCCTTGAAGCAGAACAGCGTAGACCAGGGCAAATTGCATGATAGGGCAGGGTGGGAGTCGTACCCTGCAGGGTAAAAATTCAGTTGTTTGAATTTCAGTTTTGAAGAAATACTTTTAGTTTCGAAGTATCAAAAATAAAAAATAGACTCTAGAGAGCGACAGCAATTGGTCAGCAGAACTTCCGATTTATATTGACCACCGTATGAACACGGTAGAATCAAGATAATTATAAATAGTGACGATAAAAGACGTAGGATATCTTAAGTAAGAATGGGAACTTCGAATATTTTCAGAATGGATTACTCCAAAGGACTACCGAACAAGGACAAACTACTTTCCAAGTAGAGCTCGCTGAACTCTATTCAGCTCAGATACCAATCGTACTCAAAATCTTCCTAAAAAACTGAAAGCCACAAAAACCATAAAAAAAGCCGTGCAAAACTCAACTAATTTTGCTAAATCCCGTCGCAATTGGTCAGAAAGAAGTTTTCAACACAGCCGCAGTGGCTTCCAGTCGATAGAGCGGGTAAAAATCTGTTTAGAAACCACCGTGGCTACCTCGGGAAGTTGCTATTGCGTAATCACGAAAGGATTTAGCAAAAAACCTAGGAATTTGGACCTAATTTCTATGGGCCGGGAATGTTAAATCGAACTCAAAAGGAAAGCACGGCAAGATCTACATGGAAAATAGTATGAGTGATTGTAACGTTCTTCTGGACGAATCACTATGTATTTTACCAAAATTGGTTCAGTTTCGTATGGTTTTTCGGGATTTTAGCTTTCTACCAGGTAGCTTTTCAGTAGAATTCATATACTGGCTCGATAGATCCTGTCATGTTCTGCTTCAGAAGTATTTTGTCTTTTCTGGAAAGCTGTTTGGAACGAATTTATTCAGGAGATACTCGGATCCAGTTCAAAGATATTCTCCGTATGCCAGCTCAGCAGGACAGGATCAGGGTACATTTTAAATGTTTGCATTTTTTTCAACAGGGCAAGAGCAGGCACAAAAAATCACCCGGTAAACATTTCTGATATGAATTATCCAATTTCCTTTAGATTTCTATCTTCGAGCAAAACTCTTGTAATTTTACTACTAGAATGGATGTGGGTGGGAAGAATATGAAAAATTGAAGATCTCTTTTTCACAAATTGATACATATCAGATACTATAAAATCGTCAACATTGAAATGCTTCAATAAGGTATGTTTGCAATATTCCACTACTTTGCATGAATGATTCATACTTTACCTATTGCTACGATTGAAGAATAAGTATCATACATGAGGATACTTAACGTTTTTTTAGATTGCTTTTTGTGGGTGGGATGTGTGTAAATAATTTTATGTTTATATAGCAGGAGCAGGTTGAAATTTTGTTAAAACAAGTATGTAAGTGGCAGTAACTAAATTCAATAAATTATTGTTGTAAAGTTTCACTCTTCAAAACTATTTGCAAGCAGGCATACGAAAAGTGAAAATATGAATGAAAAATTGCAAGAAACTATCCAATCGCAATCAATATTCTAGTTTCGCAAACAGTACAGTACCGTAAGTTACAGAGAAGTCACGCCACTAAAAAGTATACAACGAATGAATCACAATTCGGTATTCAAACTTCATTGAACTACAGTTAGATGCATGTTCATCTTCAGTTTTATAATATTGTTCCACTGACAGTTGAAACAACATCTGACACGGTAAAACCAAGAGGGGAAAAGAGTATTTCTGTATTTCCATTTATTTCGAAATACTTTCTGTGTATTTCAGAAATACATAGAAATACGTTTTCCCCCCCACATCCATTCTAGTAGTAAAATTACAAGAGTTTTGCTCGAAGNACACACCAAACGGTTCCCCCCCCCCCCCCCCTTGGTATTACTGCTAGAAACGAGTGGTCTTATTATTGAACATACGCAATGAAATTGAGAATGATCTCCATCTAGTATAACACGCTTCTTAATTGATAGCAAATATTTGTTCAACCTTGTTTCCCAATCGGCTCGTAACACCATACAACCGCGTGAATCGCCAAGTACAACAGTATGCATTAAAGCAAGAAAACGATTAGTGTGATCGTTATGCTCATTTTCAATTTGGCGTACTTGATCATAATGTATTGAACTTGCACATAATATGTGATTCATAGAGGTCAGAAAATGTTCGATACGAGTATTTTTCATATCAAGAAAGGCTTGACCTTTATCAAATGATCATAGATAACTAAATATAATCAATCAAATTTCATTAGGTAATGATTCAATGGTACTTTTGTTCGTTTTTAACTGCGCGAATTCATTATGTATGCGCAGTTCTTTTCAATATATAGTGTCAGAAGGCAAAATTGTGACCGAAAGATGGCAAAAAAAATATGGTGAAGAAAAAAATGTATAATAAATGATAACGTCGAAACAATATTTTTGAAATATTCGGTCAGCGATCTACAGAAATCTGATTGGATACAAAGAAGAATGAGTTGTGCTAGTGTGCCAGCAAGACATGAAAATAGTACGTGAAACACAGTCAAGAATCGTCGATGAATTCACAAAGAATAAAGAAAATGCTGTTGTATTCCATTTGAAACAGACATTTTAATGAATTGTGGCAATTTCTTTGGAAAATTTCACATTTTGGTCACATCTATTCGCCTATCTCTCATCTGTTAATAAAAGAATAACTAACAAAAGAATTTTTTCTTTGTTTTATTTTCACGAGTATCAAGCAATTTAATATTCACCTAGGACAGTCTGGACACTTTTTGAGTGAATTTATATGACCGATCGTTTTTTTTCAGTTTTTTTCTCCATCAAACGGTTGATTTACTTCAGAAAACATGATTGACCAAAAACAAAATTAGCTTTCATTATCGAAATTCTGGACTTCCAGGTCAATTTCTCGGTACATGTCGAGATACATAGTAAAAGCCAGGTAGCTCAGTTAAAGCGCTTTACGGGTGATGCAAAATACCATTTCATGGTCAACTTTTGATGTTGAATCTAATGGAAGGGTCTAAAAGCATTTTTGAAATAAAAAAACAATCAATCATAAGGATAGTTTGTAATTCTGGGGCATTTTTGTGGAGAAGTGGATATATAGACTGTATTTCATCAGCAAAACTAACCACCAATCGCTAATATCCTAAAATATATTTTCACTATGGTTACAAAATTTTCTGACAACTGAGATTGCTGAAAATTGTCAGTCAGTGTTTTTCGAAAAAACTTCGAAAAACAATATACATCAAAAAGAACTTCATTTAAACGAAAATGCGGTGACTTGTGTTGATCGGGTGTGGGTGTTCGCCTTCTTATCACACCCACGGCCCTGGAGAAAATAAGTTTCACTCAGTATTTTGAGGATATTTTTGCGAAAAGAACATATTTTTTAAAAAGTAACGGCATATTCTAAAAGCCCGCGAAAGTTCACACCATCCTATGAATATGCATTTTCATTTACATTTATTTATTACCAGAAAAAATTGAGTTATGATAAAATACAAAATAAACTTGTGGAAAATAATAAGCGATGAATGCTGATTATCAGGACAATAAAATTAGGTTGGGATTTTTTGGGAAGTCATGTCCATAATCTGAAATGTTTCCTTTAATTATGAGAAATAGTATTTGTCTTTTTCAAAGCTTATGATCTACTTTATTGTTATTTATCGATTTGTGAAAAAATTTTATGATAATCCTCGAATTAGTGACTTATTTCAGTAGCAAAAAAGATACAAGGGTCTTGGCTACGATTGAACTGTTTATAACAGCTTCATTAAAGCGATTTTCGAGCAGAGCAGTTAAAAAACATCAAAACAATTGAACAGAAACGGTGTATAAAACGTCCTCTATTTTTGTCATTTTTATCGAAAAATCCTATATTTTTGGCAACCGTGATCCTCTAAGGATTCCTATATTTTTAAAAAAGTGAAATCGGAGGCCAGCCTACTATGGACTCTGGGTTGCATAAAGAAGATCTTTCGATGTGATAGTACAATTGAAAAAATAATTTTCTTAAGTTGAAACATTCACTAAGCTATTTCGACATCATTATTTGCTAATATTAGCGAATAAAACTATGGCAATGTTTTACGCTACAATAAGTAAAAACGATTTTCTAATCCTACTTTAGTGTTTTTTTTTATTGAGAGTTGTCTTGAAATAAGCAGCCCTACGGATTTTTGTCCCAAACAAACAAACAAACAAAATTGAAAACACTTTCACAACCAAAGTCATTATTGACCCTTCTTTGATTTATGTTGCCTTTTCATATACAAAAAAAAGGGTTCACCCATATGTATATTTTCTTTAACAACAATTTAAAAAATGTTTCGTGTTAAAATTAGACTTATTTCTTAGCGAATATGTTTATAAGAAAGTAAATTTTTGATCTCGGGCAAAAAGTTTTCTTTTATAATTTAAAACTATCTTGAATTCTGCCAAATTTCCGAAAGAATAGGAAGAAATACTTGATTTTCTAGACAATAAATTATACGAAAGCGACAATTTTTTCAATGATATTTCTAAAATGCATTCAATCTCTTTTTTGTATCGAAATGAACGATGATTCATCATTGGTGACTATCTAAATCAATGGACGCTTTTGACTTTTTCTTTGTCTTACCTGATAATTTAGCTGAATAATGTCAAGCATCATGCAAATCACTTGATAATCTCTAATAATATTTAGAATAATTATTACAGTGCACCTATACAAACGATATCATTCTTTCAAAGTGTTTGGATTGCTGCTAAAAAAATGATTATCAATCTTAGCCGGTAACTTCGATAAGTCCATTTCAAAAATTTTAAAATGACAAAAACAAAATAGAACAGATTGAATCATAGCATTCTTCTTAAAGTTGCAACCGTGTTGCCGACACTCTTACAAGCAAATTTTTGAGTCTGACTAATCTTCCTCTTGTGCTTTTGCGAACACAAATCCATCATATTTTATTTATTTTTCTTGCTTTAGCTGTTCACATAATTCATCTGTTTAAACACGTTATAGTAACAAGTTCTTGAAAACAAAAGCAATATGCTGCAGTGCCCATTGGAGCAAACTTTATACCGGTATTTTGTTCTTTTCTGCATTTGAATTCATATGAATAGGTAAAATAACAATAACACAGAAGGGAATCCAACACGTAACTTTCGAGGGAAATGCAGGGGGATACGTTTCTTCCCGCTAGTACTTGTGAACTTCCTCCGCACAACATCCTCATACTTTAGAAAATTGTTTATATTCTGTTCCTCTTCCTGGACGTCCATGATTGAGTGCCCCCAGTGTCAATGTTGATTTAAACAAACTTGCAAGATGATCAATTTGTAGAATTATTGTATACGTCAAATTATCACTGAGTAGATCAATATAATATCCCGCACAAGTCATAATTATTGTTACTGTTAGGAAATATGTCCTGTTTGATTATAGAAATAATAAGAACGATTTGTTTGTTATGCTTCATTTAATTATGAACAGTTGCAGTAATTAGATCACTTTACCATCAGCAGAGTGCCCAAATATCGATCGAGGCGTAGGCGATTCAATAGATATTAATTTCAAGAACATATTTTTTTTCGTTATTTAGGTACTTAGTTTGTATTTACTTAGTCTTTGTTTTCTTGTGTAGTTAAATAAGTGCATTCAAACATGAGTCACAAATCAACGTACCCATTCGTTCTTAGTAGCTAAGTCTCATTTCGAATCGAAACGTGGCTAGGAGAAAGAATAAATAAAAGTGTCATTTGCACAATAGTCCACCGAATTCTTCACACAAAAAGCAATTTAGTGTCATAGTTATAATAGTGACTCCATTACATTAGTTTCATTCTTGATAATAAAGAGAGTGAGTTTATGTTTAAAAAAAGAGTTTGTATCACGTTAGATCAATCTATTATTTAACTGTTGGAATTCTGCGATTTTCTCACTTCAAACTCGAGTTTGTTTTATAAAATAAATAAATAAAAATCCACCAGCGCGTTTTGTGTCCATAAAATACCATTTCATTGAATTTTACTACCATCTATGTAGAAAATAAACCTGTGAATCAATATTTTCTTAGTATTTCTAGTTGATTGGCTTTGCTCGTCTATCTTCGATGTCATCTAACATTCAAAATAGTACTGATGTTCAACTTTTGGCAACATATGGTACTTTGAGAGACGATGATAATTCCGGTGCACCATGGACACACAATTTCATTAAAGTATTTTATTTTTTCTGTTAAAAAACTTTAGTCATCTTGATTGTTCAAAGGATATAAGTGGCGCGACAAGTGGTACAGTCGCTGGCTATCAACTTTTCGATAATGCGAGTCTCAACTATCCATTCGCAGTGTTTACAGGTGTTGTTGATTGGAATAATTTTCTTTTCAATTTACTATTCTCTGATTATAACAGGGAATCCAAAGGATACAATCGTTGTTCGTCTTCTAAGTTGGCAATCGAAAGAAGAATTTCAAAAGAAAATTCATGAGGGTGACATCCTGGAAGGTGATGAATATGAACGTAAAGTAGTTGAAGTACTTAGTGAAAACAAAACGAAATTTGCTTATATTTATGTATCGAAATCGAAGTCATTGGATGCAGATTGGAAAATTATTCCTAGTGGTGATTGGCTTCGACGAAATCCGAAATAAACTATATTGATTTTTTGATTCTTATTAAACACGCAGTCAAGGTGCTATCTTTTTAAAATCTATCATCTTCTTACGATTGCCAATTGCATCGTGAAATATCACTTCCGTTCTCAATGAGTTAATTTGTTTCTAGTGAATCCGGTGTGTGCTCATGTAGTTTTACTTTACGAGCGAAGCAGTGATATGTTCATAGTTGACAACTAGAAACTTATAATCACTCAATATTAAATCGGGTATTTATCGTGTGGTAGTCTTATTAGAACGATTGTATAAAGCGTATTGTGCATGGCAAACATTAATTCATGAGAGTATTCCGGGCCGCTTCACCGACTATAAGTGGCTTCTTGAGATATTATATGTTTCATCAAGAGTTAAAATCGGTAGTAAATTGTGCTTGCCATTCTGTTCTCTGCTTACTTTTTTTATTACTTTTTACAGCATCGTTTCTCCGATCAATGAGCTTGTAGCATGTAAACATAAGTGTACTGCAATTATCTTTAAAGCTAATAATACAAACAGAGGGTTATATTGACCTTCTTTTTGTGTATGAGTTCTGCTTTCAAGAAAAAACATTATATAGATCAGTTGGTTACAACAATTTAGCAGCCTAAATAAGAATTATTTCCAACAAATAATATCATTAGGATTAATGCTTCTAGCATTTGTTTTAATATCGTACAAGATATAACACATTCTTAAAATCCTCTGAAGTAGATTGCATTTCTTCATTAGCCGAACGAGGAAAAACCTCTTATTAACATATTCGATTCACATGTAGTGGATCTTGGTATCCTATCAGCATAACCTAACTAGTTAATAAGCGTAATTCATGGCGTTTTAAAAAAAAGATTTTTTTCTACGAAAAACTTGCTCATCTTACTTACTTCATAAGAAATAATATCGTCGTAAAGTTTAATCAGTGTGTTTTTATATTATTCGATAGTTTGAAAAAAACAAATGTATATGCAGTCATTTACTAGCAATTTTTACTATTGATTATATATGACGAAGAAAAAGAAGAAAAAAGAAACACCGACGAACGTCGTGTTACGGGTCAGTTATTGCGTCCTCTTCATTTTTTCGTTAGCTCATATGTTCTTCTCTCTATATACATTTCTTTATGCCCGAAAGCAACCATAATTAACGTTGCATTAGTTTATATGTTACCCCAATGCTATATTCGCCCGATGTTTATGCCAATCATTCCAGACATGGTAAAAATATCACCTGCTATGCTACCTATGATGAGATTTCCGGTAGCAGCTCCTGTTCAATCTCCATCATCATCACCAATGACTAATGAATATGATTCACGCAGGCATGATCAATATCGACATGCCAAACGAGATCATTCTCGTAATCGTCACGCACCTTTCGACTGGTATCGACCACCCAAACAAGGATATGAAATTGTTCATGAAGATATATCAGTTGTAACATCGAATGGACCGGTACCGTTTGATGAATTCTATCGACAACGTACGCACAATGAACATGACAAAGATCTAGCTGTGTATGAATCAGAAAAAAAACATGACGACAGACAAGAATCATCACATGAAGAGAAAAATATTGACTCGCAATCTGAAAACCATACGGAATCCGATTGGGATAGCGAAGAAGAAACAAGTGATGATGCAACTTTGAAACCATTGGACTCTTAAGAAAATCAATCACAAATCGACGATAATTTCAATGATAAAACTAGAATAAATTGTTCATGTGATAACTGAAAGAATATTCGAAACTTCTTTTTTTTTCTTTCATTCTTTTTATTAGTTCTTTTCTTTTTCTAATATTAAAATAAAACAAGTATTCATGTTCATACTCGCAATCGCTCAGTACTGAATGAAGGTAACGATAACCGTATAACATGTTGCTTATTACAAGTCAAATCGAGACTAGTATTATATCTACTAGGCACTTGATAGATTGGATCAAGTGTTTTTGAAAGTCTAGGTTTAGTTGTTAAATGTAACGAGGGCCGAGGTAAATTTGCGCATACGACAAGATGTGCGACTGCAGGTGATTTATAGGTCGGACGAGAATATTTATGACTATTATTATTTTTATCGTGGTAGCGATGATGATGATGATGATGATGATGATGATGATAATAATAATGATGATGGTCTCGTTGGCAACGAACAATTCGTTTCATGGTACGTAAACATGCCTCGCGATATTTATGAGAAAATAAATGGTAAAAAATTGGATTTATTGTTGAGCCAAGATAATATAAAATACCGCTAACGAAATAAAATATGGCTATTGCACGTCGTTGAACTAATGTTAAATGAAGAGCATTTGAACTGCTGGCAACCAGCCGTTGCACATGAAATGGAGCATAACATATGATAAACGCAATGACAACAGCGACTAAAATGAACTTGCATTTTAAAATTTTCCTTAAAAGATTATTAATGAACTCGCTATATTAACATTTGTAATTCAACATTTTTGTAGACGTTAAAATTGCGTTAGGAAAATTTTTTTCTCTCGATATTTCAGTCGAGATAGTTTTAAGAGAGTTTGATAGCGCATTACTTGCCCAAGAATATATTCACTATTGTGTTACAGCAGCTGTGTAGAACACTCAGAAAGAACCTCTTTATATCAAACAATGATCCCTATCGATCAGTTCACTTGAACGACATTATGGTAGGCATGACAAATGTTTACTATACTATCTATTCACAAAAAAACATTGTCATTGAGTTATAAATTCTAAATTTAGGTTTTGTTCCTTAATTGAACTATTTATTGCTCGACTTTCTGTTTTATTTTAATGACGCATAAGAGTTGTATCTACCATGGACAACTTGGGATTTTTTTTCCTAAGACATTTGTGTCCTTAAAAACCATTTTCGATGATATCTCGTCGAATCTTGTGCACTTTCGAACAAGGGAATAGGACTAGTTTTTTTTTGTGTTAGGTTTCCACACTACAGTAAAAACAAATGAATGCAAAAATATTGCCTGGTGTCTTGTACTGACTATGTTTAATCAGAAAGAGACTTGCAGTTTCTCGTCATATAAATATATGGAACGAACATAACTCAAGAAAATCAAGAGGGAAAATTTCTTCCGTTGAGACCATCGGAAAAATCCATGTATTGACTCAATTTACAATAGTAGGCAAACCACACAGGAACTCAATAGAGATGGATGAATACATTTTTTGAATAACCATATCCTGAAGAAAAAACAAATTGTTTGCCTTGACATCGCATTAATAAAATAGCTGAATATCAAACAAGAATGTATTGAAACTCTTGCATTCCATTAATAATGGAGTAACTTAATATAGACTTCTTCCCTCGTCAATGACGTTCGTTACTCTTCTTAATGAAACATATTCATGAGAGGAAAAACATAATTTGTAACTTGTTGCTGGGTAGACCAATCCAACATGTTCATAGAATTCTTATCATCATAATCATCTTTTGCTGAATCGTCATTCAGTACTATAATTTTAAAAGATTAATGTTACAATAAGAACACCAGGAAATGAGTACTTCCTCTGGAATTTATTTGTGGTAAAAAGTTAGATCCTGATTGATTAAAAAAATAGAATCAAAATTACTGGAGACTAAAAATAATTATTCAACGTCATTTTATGAAAGTTAGACGTCAATTCGTAATGAAAAATGCATTTCATAAGTGCAATAATATCGAAGAGAAAAAACAGATTACATAGAAGGTCATTAGATTATTGCCAAGAAATAATACTGTCTATAAGTATTGTTGGATAATTAATTATAGAGAACTCGTCTTTTTTTCAATGAAATTTCTCATATCATTTCTTATGATATTATATGTCTATGAGAATAAGATAAAAATGAAGTGGTTTGAAAAAAAACGAGAATATCGAAACTGTGGTAGACATCTATTTTCTAATATATGTAAGTTTCAACGGTACAATGTCATAACGATAATACATTTGCTAAAATTTCTCTATCCAACTTATGTAGGCTATTGTATATGTTATCTTATAAACAAGAATAACTTGAGACACACAGCGATAAAAAATAAATTCCGCAAGAATAACGAAACAAAGAAGCAATATGATATTGAAGTATATTTATAGATATAAAGTGCTACTACAGTCCGCTTCACTTAAAACGTCAAAATGAGTTATACCAAAAACGTTTTAAGAGTAACTTAATTATCGTTAATTGACTTATTGATTCATACTTTTTAATCGAATAATTCATGATACAAACAACAATATGTTATACTTACAGAGCATTTTGAAAGCTGATTTTTTCATTGATTGCATATTTTGTCCTTGTGCACCTGAAGAACTATAATTACTCAGTCGTATAGATGCATATTTTCTTGTAATCGAAGATGTTGGTGAATTACGAGATTTTGTTCGTTTTTGTTCTAAATCATTATTATCCTGTTCATCATTTTTAGCGCGTATTGATGTCGAATAGGATTCTCTATAATCAGATTTTGACCAATATCCATCGCCAAGTAAACTAGCCGAATATAAACGTCGCGCCATTAATGCATATAGTACACAAAGAATAAATGCCGGTAAAACGAAAAAAAATGTGGCCGATATTTGTAGACATTTTTTTTCGAATGCTTGAAAATCTGGATCGAAATAACAATGACTTTCGGATTTCTTTGTTATATATAAATAAGGTGTAGATGATAGGATAGCAATAAACCATATTAATATTTGAATTTTAATTGCACGTCCTGTTGTTGATAAAAATGTAGTGTGAAGTGGTCGACACACAGCTATATAACGTTCGATTGTAAATGCACTGCACGGAAAAAAAACCGTAAATGAAAAGAGTAGAAATAAATTAACTTGAAGACTATTTTCACATTGCATTACCTAATTGTCAGAATCGATGCATTGGTTGATGTTTCAGCAAGCAGACTTCGAAGTTTACAACCAAATTGATTCAATGGGAATGTAATTGGTAAGAACTAAAAGTGAAAGGCTAATAAATTTCCTAGACAGAAAAATCTTACCGCTATTTCAAATGGTAAACTAACAATTAATGGTAAACTATCGCTAATCGCTAAATTCAATAAATAACAGTTTGTAACTGTATGCATATCTCGATTTAGTAAAATAATCAAGATAGTTAACAAATTATTGGCGATGCCGGCGCAAAAAATTGGAATATAAATGCAACCTTGTATAATGCCGAGTTTATGAGAAAATTCTCTATCGTCGTCATCGAGTAAAGGTAATTCAGAACTATTACTTATGTTGTTAATAGTCATTTTTAATTATTTATTGTTATTGTACAAAAACAAAATGCATGATTGTAACTTGAACGTTGAAAACGACGTTCGTATCTAATTGAGCGAGATATATTTTATTGCTTGTTTTAGTTACCCTTTTTTCTATATCCTAGCAAGAAAAGCATCGAGAAAATGAGAAGGAAAAAGAAAAGAGAGGAGAACAAGAGGCCGTCATAATCAATCCAAGAAAACTCAATCATAGGAAAGACAAGCACTACGCAAAAATAAAATATAACTTCAAGGGCTATGTCATATCATCTTTTCTTACACGAACACCTGCAAAATCGGATAATTTCAAGCCAGCTCCTAATTAGGAATATTCATAAGCAACCACTGTGCATTCTTTTTTCCTGTCGCAGGAAAAAAGAACTAATAGAAAACAGAACCCTCGTTTAGCCTCCTTTTACATCTATTTAAAAACAAGAATCTGCGTTCAAGTAATACTTTGTAAGACATACGTAATAGCGTTTTAGAACTAATATTCTTAAGCTTAATCAAGTTTAGACGATGTCTACACAATATATGCTTTCTCTAGTTATTCGCCTCTAAGCAGTGCACCAGCTAATAAAATATGACAAATTCTCTGCTCTCATTAGTATTGACAAAAATTTCTATTTCCTAAGAGATTTTCTTCTAAGCAACAGGTCATTTTTCGGCATTGATAGATTGATAACATTCTGTTGTCTTAATTCGGGTTCAAAAGTTCAGCGCTTATCAAACTTAGGAAACACTTTATGTAAAAGAATATTAATTCTTAAAATTTGTATAACTCATAACTGCTGAATTATTTAGCAGATATATGAGATTTCACATGTGCTCTTTAAACTTTGTTTTCTCTTCATAATATTATTTCCATATTAATGAGACTAACGTAATGGGATATAAGCTTGACATTAATGAAAAAGATAGCATAACATATTTCCTAAAATCGCAAAGATTCTTTTCTGTAAGTAATAAATCGTCTAAGGATCATAATTGTAACATAAAAAATATAAAGATGGATGTCACTAAGGGTGTTATAGCGATTAGTATGCTAGTCTTTGGAGAATATTAGTTTTTATATGATGCCCGAAAAAAAAAACATGAGCCTGGATTTAAAACATCTTCAGTGGTTTATGCTGCCTTTAAAAATGTTACAGTCTCTTTGAAATTTTAATTCTTAGTAAAAGAAATTTTTTCTCCTTGCTCAGGAAATCGAAGCGCTCAAACACAAAAAGACGTTAATGTCGATACAGTCATAATACAACATAGATTTTGTCTTGTTCTATTCGTGATAATAGAACATAAAGAATGATCTTGTTTTTCTACAAGAATTTTCCAATAACTATGACTTATGACGCCTAAAAATGTTACTCATCATGGTTTAAGTTCTTTATAGAAATATCAAATATTCAACAGTAGACAAGACTCGGCATCTAATTGTTGTTGATGCTAAATGTAAGCATTAGTAATAATTAGAATTAAACTTTTCACTTTGATAGACCTTCGTCTCTTTTTTTATCGCTATGAATATATTTGAACGTGCGATTATTTTCTAGCGCTATACATATGCTTTCTATCATTTTATTATAGACTATTTAAGCTGAAAATATTTTCGATTCTCAATACTACGAACGAGTTACAGCACTAATTCTCTGCTTACATTAAAACTTCTACTACATTGACAGTCATATTTTTAGAAAACAGTTTTGTTTATCTATCCTATTGTATTTTGCTGGTAATTAACTTTCATAAACAAATAGGATATTAGTGACAAGAAGAAGAAGAAGAAGAAGAAAACAAGAGAGACTCATCAATAAGAAACATCCGATCAGCGTCATCACCAAACGAATAATCTATAAGCAACTGTCAAGATGAAATCTGATCGAGAAGAAGCAAAATTTCATTAGTGTCGAAACAACGTTTATCATGGTGACTAAACGTAAGAGAAAATAAAATGCCAACTACCCAGAAAATATGCTTAATAGAAAAATGCTAAATATTCAACACGCTTGAATGCGTTGAGAAGTGGATTTTTAATGGAAAGAAATTAAGCATTTAAAACTTAAATCTTTTAGAAACTTATTTCACAGGACTTTTCCTAGTTTTCCCAAGCTAGAATCTATTAGTACAAGTGAAAACTGTTCTTCTGGCGATTTTGCTGTTTCAAATTTCAATGTAATCAATACAAGAAAAGAAACATGATGGATCATTTGTTTTTGCTGGAAATCAGAGGATAATATTTTTCTGTTTTGTTTTAATAATGACTACTCGAGCGAAAACATGTTATATGTATGCCAGCTTATACTCGAAGATATATTCACGAGTTGATGACTTTCAAGGAGCTCGACTAGATAAGAAAGCACATGCCTTGATTTGTTTATCGATCAGTAAATAGACAGCCATGGGTTGTGAATTCTGTTATTCAACTGGAAAAACAATCTGATATAAGCTTTTTTTTTCTTGCCGATTATAATCTAATAGAGAATTTGTTCAAGAACGCGGCCAGAACAAAAACTATGAATAAATTTATTGAAACGAGAAAAAAAACATTTAGAAGAATTTGCGCTTTTTTCAAGCAAAAATCGCTGTTAATTTCTGTTCGCCTCCAAGATAAACTATTTTTGGTTCATATGTACAATCGTCAGAAGTTGTCATTGGTGTACTGTCATTGTCATCAGACGATGAAAGTTGAATATTAGTGCGAAATGAGTCATATGTTGAATTATCATAGTCAGTCTTCGCCGGTAGAGTGAGACGTTGTTGTTGTTGCTTTGTACAAATAACTTCAAGTGGCGCATGGTAATTTTCCTTCACTCGTTGACGACGTAATATATATATGCTAATTCCTAGTATAAGACTAATAGTGAGAAGGAATAGACATGAAACAATTATTGCCATAGTAACAATATGAATTGATACTGAGTGGTATGATTTATATTTTTGATTTTGGCAAATCCCATGTAGACATGTTTCATTTAATGGACATTGAATCAATGAATTACATATGCCACTTGTTTGACTTTCACAATAAGCTAATTAAAATAAAGAGAATATTAAACAAACAGAAGGAATATTGCTTTTTGTCTTCTTCTATTACCTCGATCATCATCATCTAAGGATATTTTCGTTGATATATTCTTTGGACAAGTACACGTGCTAGATGAACTATTTTCATGACACCATTCTAAACATCTTAGATTCTTCATTTCACATAGATCCATATTTTGAACCAGCTGTACACATATGGGATATCGATTTTCTATTGAATACGATTGTAACGGTTCTCGACATGTACACCGATGTTTAATTTGATCACATTCATAACTTTCCGATGGATAACATAAATGTTCATTTGAACAGTAATCATTCAATGTTGATTCAATGCGCAAATCGAGTTTAAATAATTGTTTATGATCCGTACGATAGAGTGTTTTGGTTAGACAATCGAGTGTTGTTAAATTTTTTATGTACGTCTTGCCCGATGGTAGATACATAATATTTTTGTCAACAAATGTTGTACGAACAAATTCTCCGCGTAATGTTGATGAATACTCAAGTGACGTCCAATTGCTTAACATATTCATATTTGAACATTGGATCATACTAAGATTAAAACGTATCAATGGTTTTGCTGATTTCTTATGAGTTATAATCGTCATCAGTAGATCATTGCCAACATTTTTGTGCAATGGATATTGTAATATCATTGATAATGTTCGATTATCGTTCGTCGTTATATGATTAAATAAATGAGAAGAATGATTACGATGGTAAAAATAGTGAAATGAACAATTAGACAGAAGAATTAATTTATTAGGAGTACAAGTTGTATTTTCTCCACAGTCGACGACGACGACGACGACGATGCCGATAATTATCATTAGATAAAAAAGAAATATACGATCAGACAACATGCGATGTTTGCGCTAGTCGACAAGCCCATCTAATCTGATGGAAAAAGCGTCACGTTACTGTTACTAAAAATGAACAAAATGCAATGGTCAATACATAAGGTTCCTAATCAATAAGAATGAGAACGCCTGTTTGTCTAACATGACCAGTCAAACAGAAACATTTGATGATGAGATCAAGCTAGAATAATAATAATAGTCGTAGCTATGATCGATTCTTACTCAACGTGTGCCCATATAGACATCAGGCAGCAATGATCGCCTTTATGTGCTTCATTACAGAATTGCAAGAAGAAATTAAAGCAAACGTGCGAATCGAACGGCCTTAGATAACTATAATGTTTCGAGCTGAAAGCTGCGCTATTAAATATGTGCTCTTGCTATCTGTTAAACGAGGATAACAAAAGAAGAAAAAAGAATAGCTCAGTTGAGAAATATAAAATAGAGACGATGATAATGGCTTTTATATAAAACGATAGGCTTTATATATATAACTTGTCCTTGTCAATTGCAGAAATACAGGCCACCTACTATGGAATGCAGATGGAACGTTTCACCACGATACTTATTCTTCCGTTTTTTTTATGACGGCTTACTTGTCTGTCATTCATCTAGTAGAAAGCTTGGAAAAGAAATGTTCATGCACATTAGTTACATCATATTCTTGTGAAAAGCAAATGAACTGTCGTGCTCTTTCCACTCTTGACTATAACGTAAATACCCTAAGATCTCCATTCTCATCGTTTAATGTATATAAACTTAATATATTTATCTTATCTTACCTTCGTTAGCTTTCCTTAATTCAATCTTAATAACCGTTCTATTTGATAATAATCATCGTTTATGTATATGTATATTCCATATTCATGCAATTACTATTGATGTTTGTTTCGTACGCGCACATACACATACACAGACGTTATCTATCAAATCATAGCTAAACTAAAAAAGTTGTTAGTTTTACTACTGCCATTTCTTCTCTTATTCCTTTTCCCCCGAACGTCGTCGTGCCGGTGCAAACGATTATATAACTTAAGCTAATTCCTTTTTCTCTATTCCATTGAACATTACTATTAGCGATCTAACAACCATTCTGCTCTTTCTTCTATAAAGAAATTGTGAAGACCTTGTAATACTCTTCTCCAATGAGTTCTTCGTGCGCGTATATTTTTCCATTTTCCAGAATATACAATCAGCTCTTCAAGCCCCGCATCAAGTGTAGTTTGATCTGCTAAATGTTCTTCGTCTTCACAGATGACCTCGACGCATGCACGTACAAAAATGTTGAAAAGAAGAACATCTTGAGACATGTTTAATGATTAATCGATTGGCGAATAAATGGAAATAATTTATTATTTCTATTATTTATTCGAAATTTTTATTTTGAGTTGTGATAATTGACAGATTACAATAGCAAACGCTAACAAGAATTTTTCTTCTATACGATGACCATACCATTGACATGAGAGATAGTAAAGGGCTAATTGTGATTGATAGATTTTTTTTAGATTACATCAATCGAATGTAAATATAAAAAGAGAGTGAACGGTATGCAAATAAGGAAATACCGGAGTGACTAAGATGTCGAGAATAATTTATTTCATGAGATATAAAAAATGACCGATCGATCTAATTATAAATTCAGTTCAATATAATAAAACTATCCGATTTAATCAAAATTCAAGGTGAATTGATTTTATCAAGACATGAATAAAAGATACGTTGATTATGAAGGTTGTTCGTATGGAACGTAGTTTTTTTTTCTTTTTGATACATGTTATCGCTATTAATCGTGCGCAAAGAACAAAAAGAAGATTTATTATATACAATCAAAGTCAATGTATATCAACAATCCTTGTAGAATTCATATTTATACACAGATTTGTTTAGATACTTCAGCATGATATTGTTCGTTATTATTTGCATTTTGCATAGTTACTAGATAAAAGAATATTTTGTTTCCGAATCTCGTTTTAATATGCATATAAAAAAAATTTCTCTAGAAAGGAAGGAAGGAAGGAAGGATGAAACCATATCCCTGTCTTCCAACCATCTCATAGAATAGTATATTGTCTAGTAACACATGCACTAGTAATAATATTAGCTGTCATTTTGAACAGAACAACATACACGGACACTGAGGTCTTATGGTCAATTATTTGAGCTCTCAACGTAAACACGCTAACTAACCGCGATAACAGGTGTATGTCACAATAGAGACAGCAGGACATCGGACATGCGATACAACATAAACATATACTAGTGGCTTTTCCACGGTTGGCGATACCGAAGTTTCCTCATCAAGGTGTTCAATCATGGCGGTTTATGCGAGTCGTATAGCATGTTCATTTAGAGAGAGAAAAGGTCTTCGCTTATATGCTCATGATAATCTGACCATTGGGTCATACAAAATATATTGCATAGTATTGTGCGTATATATCTTAATCGTATTAAGGCGCACAGAAATGAATTCTTTCTTTTCTCTCTTGGGGAGCAGTTCTACTTAATTCTCTACATAATTGTAACTTCCAGTTGATTGGAAAAGAATGAACTAGTTTTTTTCTTTATGGTGTAAGCACAATATTTATTAAAAAAAAATCGTTTCTTTTGTTACGCTTTGAGTGATGTACATTTCAATTACATGGATCATCACACATGAATCCAACCGTTGTCTTTTTGAAATAGTTATAGGCATTGCAAGCTGAATTATTTCCATGCTAATGATCAGGATCATTAATGGGGGAGAGAAGTTGCCTTACCACTATCGTGCTCTAGGAAGTTGTTTATTACACTTGCACTATGATGTCCTCAAGCTTCAAAAATTCATATAGACGATCAATCAAGCCGGATACTCCGTAGGGTTCGTAATGCTGTGTGAATTGGACAAATGAAATTATGCCTTCAATAGCTCGTTAGATCTTGATGATGGCGAAATGAAATAATTAAACTTAATTTCCTCTTCATGGATCATAATCATCGTTAACACGTACAAACCATTCAACCTTGAATTTTTCTGAAAAATTTCTATAATGAAAGCAAATTCACTAATAACAGATTCTGAAAAATAGCAAATGTTCTTTTTCTAGAATTAATTGAGAGATCGACTTCTATAGGGAAATAATAGGAGTTTCTTTCGAAAATAAAACAGCTGTTCCGTTCATTTAAATCTGACTGAATCTGCGATACGAGTGTCACAGTCATAGTTGACTTTAGGTAAATATAATTATCATTTCGGTGAGCAAAACATGAATGTATTTGCCAGTTTTTACGTTGATAGAATCTTATTATTATTCATTTATCTCCACACGTAACTTCTACGACGATTTTACAAAACAATGTTCGACAGTCATCTTTTTGTGTGCTAGCCAAACAACCTATCTATCGCGTGAACCATGAAGATTTTAATACAGATAGAGACCTTGAAATCTTAGGAAAAAAATGCATTTAAATTAGCAGCTATACTGTTATACTTGACATCCAATATGCACTCTAGAAAAAAAAATGTGCCGAAAAATAAAACTTCTTGTCAGTGTTAATTATTTTTCTCTCGAGTAATGTCATCAAGACCATTGCCAGAGCATTTAATACAAAATTGCGGATGTAATAGTGTGAAAAAATTCCTCGTGGCAAGACAATACTTCGAAAAAAAAAGATTATATTCAAGTACCGTATAAGAAATTATAATTGCATGATCGACTTAGCCAGCATGCACTAAATTAGATGTTAAAAAGAGAAATGTATTTAAAAACATCAGTTTTACAGAGGTGGAAATGCGTTCCAAGACTTGTTATATTCATTCGTAAATATGTAAAAATCGGTTTAATTTCGCCCAACGTATCAAGCATCTATGCGTTTGAACTAAAAATATCAAATATAGCCCAATAGATCATCAAAGTTAGTCCTGTTCAACTGTAATATAATGCAGAGATTAAGAAAATGAATCGTTTTTAATCCTACTATTCTTATGAGCAATAGATCTGGTTTCGATCATCAAATATAATAATTCCATGTGTCTGGTGTATGTGCTATTAGCTTGAACACGCTGTTTCTCGCAATCAAACGAAATGAAAAGAATTAAAAATGACTTCAATGTTGAAGTTATTCTATTCTATTAATAGGACAATCTTTTTGCTCAAATCATAAAACCTAATAAACAATGGCCATTTTCTAACACGATCGTTTTATTTGTTAGTCAATAGAAGGTTCGCCGACGCAGAAAAAAATGTATTTAAGAACAACTCACAGAGTTTTAAAATTTAAAGCTCACCGGGATTAAACTGAAATTTTGATTTCCTGCTCACGCAACATATTTTTATGCCTTTGAGTTTCAACAATTGGTCAAATTCAGACAACGAGTACATTGGTATCCGAGACTTTTGCTACCATTAATTTATGCATCGTTCGATACTCGTTTCGTCATTAGAATTATTTCTATCTTAGGTTGAGAACATCTGCTTTCATAATAAAAACAACTAATACTAATTAAGAAGTATTTTTCAAATCTTGCGTTGGTGAAAGCAAATGTTCTTTTTCTTTAAACCGTTAGATTAAAAAACACAACTTTAGATTAAAAACAATCCTCTTAACAAATCTTTTCATTTGCAGTCTCGCAAAAGAAGCCTCTTATCCATTCCGGTGACATTGTCTAAAGAGATTTTTTGAATGCCGCTAACAAAGACTTTTACTTGATTGAATAGCCCGTGGGCGTAAAGCAAATTTTAATTCTTGAGAATTCGAAGACTGATACTATTTTTGTACGCCTCTCGGGTGAAGCCCATTTAAGTTCTGTCGTCGGCATTGCTTGCACTCCTATAACTACGAGCAGCAGGTGATCATTTATCTTCTATTAATGAGACATTTTTCGGAAAAACTTCTCGTGTGTTGACGTCAGTTGGAATGAATACAGCAATTCGATTTTTTTATAATCAAATATAAAAGCAAAACAAAAAACAATTCTTTTTCTATTTCAGAAAGTAAATAATTCAGGATAAGCATAATTATTCGTGCGTAATTTTAATTTTTCATTTGAACCTGCATTCCCATTGGTCAGTTTTAACGGTGGATCTTTTCGTGATAATTTACGATCATTCAATAAATTTTCTATCTGTTGGTTCTAATCATAAAATTTCATGAAAATACTAAATTCAATTTAAACGAAAGGAAAACTATTTACCTTTCCATTAACGATCATTTTTAATTGACCCAAAGGCTTCGTACGAAAATCATTTGCTAAACGCTTATTCTCATCGGAGCGTTCAAGCGGCGATTCAATTTTGGTCAGAACATCGTGTATGGTATCGAAAGATATATCTTCTTTTTGATTTTCATTCTAAATTTGTTCATATTTCGTTTCATAAACAGAAAAATAAAACGACTTTATAAGCTTACACGTAGATCTGATCTACTGCTGAGAGAATCATCCGTTTCGGACTCTTCATTGTCATTATCACCGGGAGAATTTGGTTCTATGTAAAATAAAAAATTCATAATTCAATTAGAATAAGGTGAATAAGTCGGAAGAAGAAGAAGAAAAAAAAGAAGAAAAAAAGGTAAGGTTAACATATTATGCAGCAAATGATGAATGCGCCTTTGTCGTGTTCGCTCAAGCTAACAATATACGCACGAATGAGATTAAACAGCAATACCGTCTAACAAAAAAAAACTACTTTTTTTTCTTTCTTTGGCACTTTCCCTTTTATTTCTCAGTTTTCTATTGGAAAACCAGAAGAAAAGAAAAGCGACGGCCACGACGACGCCAAGGAAAATTAAGTAAACGCAACAAATACGAAACCAAGATATTTGTTTTGATTAATATTTATCCATAAAAGTTGTAAGCCATGCTCACAATACATTTGATTCTGTTAGTTTTAGTAGGTGTAATTGGTATAACATTTAATTGGCTTCTAATATTAGCCATTCAACGAAAAACCTATCACTATCAAGAGCCCTATCGAATTTCAACTCCGGTATCAAATAAAAAATTATTACAAGCGAATTCATCTATTAGCGGTCAGATAATTCGGCCACCACTATTACCGGCATCACGCTCGTCAATATCGACATTTGATAAATATATTCTAGCATTTTTAATTAACGATATCATGGTTTGTAATTTGATTATTCCACTACGTTTTATTGATTTACAACAAGGTTTGCCATGTGGATTTTTTTGTTTTGTATTAAAATTTCTGGAAAAATTAACAACAATTATTGAAATAGTGATTATTACTCTACTATTAGTAACATCATTACTATATTTTTGTAAAAAACATTTAGCAACGACAAAATTATATTTTTTATGTTTAATTTTAATATCACCTTTAATTATCACATATTTAACAACAACCTTAACACATATTGATATTAGTGAATATGAATATGAACAACGGCCGCCGTCATGTAAACAAACGTATATTTATATTAATAAATCAACACACAGGAGTTTAAATATGGCTTGTTGTTTTATGACATATTTAATTGTCTTTATTCAATTTCTATTATTAATTAAAATGAAGTATGCTATTAAAAATTATAAGCAAAGCAGTTTAAAAATTCTCAGTGAAGCTGCAAATTTGACACGCAATGCACAACAAGAAATATCATTATTTGATCAAGTGAGACATATGCTTTAGTACCGTTAGAGAAGAAGTCTCTTGAGAGAGAGAGAGAGAAGTGATTGCGGACTTGAGTGTTAAAACGAATTTCATGTGTCTGATTTTCGAGTATACAAGGGTAAAATAGTGTTTTTTTTCTTTCTCTCTGTATAGATTCGCCGTACACAACTTCAGACTTGAAGAACATTTCTTCGATTATAATTAGTAGCAAAAGAAGACAAAAAAGTCTTTCATTCTAAGTTAAATTTAAGATAATCAGTCTGTTCCATGTTACGGAAATAAAATAATGAAAAGTTACAAGTTTCATGTTAGTCATTATAGAGTACGAGTACTCCATCAAGGACCATACTGCAAGAATTCATTTCCTTGAGCATTTAATCTCCGAGCTCTAAAACGAGGAAAAATCATTTTTCTTGTTATCATGGCGACGGTCGTGGACAGTCGACTGCGTTAATAATTTATCCGTCATGACTTGTTATGTTTTTTTCAATTTCCAGAATACTAATGAAAATATGAATCGTCGTTCAATACATTATTCTCAACCATTCAATCAATCCGCAACAACTTCAATTGCTACTGATGTAGCACTAACTACGCAACGTTCATTGCAAGCATTCGATTATTTAACTTATTTAACAATCGTTGAAAATAGTCAGACTTTAATTAGTTCATCGTATCTTCTGTTATTTATTTATCTATTTGCTCATATACCCTACTGGATTGATGAATTGTCCTATGTGCAATTTTCATATCAATTTAAAGATGTTTATCTTCTATGTCATATACTGAAACCATTTTGTTATGTATCAACCAATGAAAAATATCGATTTCATATATTAGCAACTTTACAATGTAAAACATTTCGTATGTTACCAAATATTTTACGACGTCGCTCACGCGTTGTGACATTAAATGATGAGATTACGAATATAAATATTCTTCGTAATTAATAAGCAACAAACCTGATTCGAAATGAATGGTACGATTAAATCTTGATATATCATAATGTGATGATTTTAATGCGTGAATAACTGTTTCTTGAGTAAATAGACATTCTTTTGGAATAAATTTTAATAGGTTTTCTTTTGAAACAGATCGGTATGCATCAGGCGGCAAGAGATGGGGTGTGCGACGTTCACGATGGCGAATTACCTAAATAAAATTAACAAAAAAGTTCTCATTTTCAACTTCAATAGTGCATTTTTTGGAGAAAAGAGAAGACATATTGCTAAATTATGATAGTCTAGAGTGATAGAATGTGTCAAAAACTTTTTACGAGTTTTCATCAACAAAATTAATTATGTAAAAGTTATTTTGAATAGTGACAAGGTCTTACAAGGACTATCATGAGTTCTCATTAATTAGTAGTTTAAGAGTGTACTCAGAGCGCGCGACTAGCCCCGTGTAGAACTAGGCTTAAGTGCAACGCAGAGGCACTGACAATATCCTAGATTGAATAGGAAAAAAGTTTGTTCATGGAATCCCAAACGTATTGAAATGTAAAACACGAGGAGTCCGCCTATTTTATGAAAAGAAAAGAATTCTATAGAATTCTTTTCTTTTCAGAGAGACTGACGAAGTGGTACATGGCCATTTTTATTTTCTTCGTTGAATGGTTGCTTTAAATTAATCTTCATTCTCTAATTAAATGGCAATAGAATAAAAGATGACGCATCATTTGACCGAATCCGAAACTGGTGGCAACACTTTCGTATTCTCAGGGATACAGCGCATATAAATGCCGGAAGTAAAAACTAGAAGAAAAAAATGAATCGACTCCTTAATGCATCTAAAAGTGTCAGGAAAATGCATTCTGATTTCTTGACAACAGAGTGCTGACACTCTAGGCACTATGGTTGCCATTTAGATAGAAATCAAACAAATTGTACATAATACGAAACTTTCCTCCCTGCAACCGCTAATCTGTTCGAATGCAATGTCTTCACTTACTTGGTCGACATGATCAGAAAACTGATTGATATCGTATAATTTTGACATTAAATTAAAATACGCAGCAATCAATGCGTGTATACCATAATAATTAGTTTTAGGTAATTTTCGTTGATCTTCATCCATCATTTTTATTATTACTGACTAGAATTTATTTCGGAAAAAAAAATAAAAAGATATTTTCCATTGAATTCTATTTACTTGAATTTCAAAACAGAAATGAATTACATCGACCAGCACATCTGGATCATTGGCTTCAAGTGTCACAATATTCATCAGACAATAGATAGCATAGAAAATCTTCTTTGTATTATTCTCGAATAATATGCATTTGTAAAGTTGAGAACGAAATTGATGGCCGAACTAAAAGAAAATCATTTTCCCTTTTTGAAATCAAGAAAAAAACCTACTTTTTTCATAAAAGGAATATCAGAAAGACGACTTCGCTTTGTGCCAGTAGGTAGACCAAGCTGAGAAATATCTTGAAATATTCTAGAATAATAAACGAGATTATTGTTTTGATAAATCGAAATTCGACGAACCTGATTTTCGATAATCTATCAGCATAATGCCATCGGTCAACAAGTAGCTGAATAATTTCGAGTGCAAGTAATCGAAATTCTACTTCAGGCGAACTTATTAATTTAATTAATGGATCAAATAATTGATGAGGAAATGTTGTTAGAGTTGATATTGCTTCGGAAGATTTTTCCGATTGATACTGTGTTGTAATCTAAGCGAAAATTGAATTCGAAAAATGCTTGTCATCATCATTTCGCGTCAATCGAAAATCAAATAACTGCATCACAAGATTAGCAAAAGAGAAGCGCAAAAAACCTCGCGAGAATTCGAAGCAGACGTTTGCCGAGCACGTTTTTTAAGAATAATCTATTTTTTCCAAATATAATGAAAACCCGAAACAGAAACAATGTACGCACTTTTTGTATTGTTTTAAGTAGAAGTAATTGAAGTCTAAAGTTTGAACTACAAAAGAAAACAATATATAATTGTCATGGAAATAATCGTGGTGACAAACTTGAACTCGCTTGCATGTTCTTCCGTATTTTGATACAGTGTTGGCAAGGACGAGGCAATACATTGTATTATTTCCATCATTTGAAAGTCGGGTAAATTTTCGGCGAAATCATCTTTAAATAATGGAAAAAAAATAGCATATTTTTTATAGCAGATGTTAAATCCCATTTGTTAGAGCTTCGGATAACTTACCTATTCCACTGATAACTGCAGCTTGAAATTTATGTTCATCGGGATACTTTGGCGATCCTTTAGAGCGCTGAAGTTCGATTCGAAAAGATTTCTTTAGAAAATTTAAAAGATTTGACATTCCAGTAAATATTGTTGTTCCTATTGAATCAGAAAAATTGCATTAAAATAAAATTTTGTTTTTCGAATTCTTCTTGCCAGCTCCTGTATTTGGCGCAGAAAAAACTAAACAATCATGAATAACATTCATAATAGAGGTTCGTATATCTGTTCTATCGCGTATATTGAGATGATCGTCAAGATGATTAAGTAGTAAATCCGTAACCACGTAACTATTATGGTGCTAAACACAAATAATGATTGTTTTTGTTTTTCTTCTAATTAATTAATTAATAAAATAATATTACTCTAATTGAATTCATTATCCGAGAAAAAATATATTTAGAGAAATCACCAGGAATCCATTTTGCGTTTTTGTCTAAATGACTGAAGAATAAATATAAACAAGATAAAAATGATTTCACTTCTTTGTTTTTCATACACAAGAATCAATTGAACACATATGGATATATTCGTATTACTGTGTGCACGATTAAAGATGTCTCGAAAGATTATATCAGCCAAAGTCGATGTCTCCTCGTTAGTCATTTGTTCATTTTTTATAATCACATTGGCCGGTGATACTGTTGTTGTTCTGTAAACATAGAACAAGAAGAAATAAGTTTTTTCACGATGATTCAAAAAGTCAATACGTTGCTTCTTGTGATTGATTTTGTTCTGCCACTTCCATATTAAATATAATCGATGGCACGATTTGATCCATATATTTCCAAGCGTCATTTTGTAATTCATCATTGGCTGTTTTTCGAAAAAGTGCGTGATGCCCACGAAGACCAAGGCATCGTAATCTAATCGAGAGGTAATGTATTCTTGAGTGTATTTACATGATACATCCATGGGAAATAGACTGTTTTATAGGAAATAAGCACCTAGTTTACCGAAGCTACGACCTAAATGTGCTCTCGAGTTCTTATTTTGAAAACAAAAGTAAGTCATGCTGTTTAAACCTGTATTAAACTCTCAAAACTATTCCACTGACTGCGATGCCCGGTACGCACTTACGTTAGTTCATACTTTGGAGTCACACATTATGCAATGACCCTGAGCAAGTTAGTAACGACTGTTTTTTTCGGATTATCCGTCTGATAGTCTTAAAACCACAATCTAATCTATACTTTAGCGCTTCGTTGAACATTGAAGCTCATTCATTTTCGCCAAAGACAATATTGTATACGAAATAGCGGCTTACTATTAATCTGACGGACGATTTCGAGCTACTCGATTGCAAGGTATAGCGAAATAGTTTCTGAGTTTTTCATATCGTTATTGTTTAAAAAAAAAGAGTTCCTCTACGTACTTGTTTTTATCCATTTCATCATGATAGTAACAAAGTGCGGTGAAACGATGGACGAAAAATTGATAATTTCTTTGATAATTTGGTGCTTCTTCGCGTATTTCACAAAATGACTCAAACTTTGCAAAAGAAAAAAAAATAATATGAGAATAATCACAAAACACCCTACCGAAGCAACAGCATGTTCTATTAATTCTAAATCATCTCTTTCTTCAAGTACGAGACGTAATGTTTCTAAATAATCATCAACAAATATATTCAATAGTTGATAACATGATTTCACTATGTCATCCATTGCTGTAATGCCAAGTATTACATATCTAAATAGAATCGAACGCATGATTTTCTATGTTGAATTGAGTAAACAAAAAATACATACGGTCGATTTCGATTATTTAAATAGCGTGATATTTTCTCACACAAATATCGAAATGCTTTATCGAGTTTTTCTGGTTTTCTAACAGCATAGAATCGTAAACGTTCAAGATTATTTCTATCAAGACCATGCTGTAAATGAATAGATGATGAATAAACACAAATGAAGGACAAAAAAAAGAAAATTAAATGATATTTTATTTACTAGTGGATTCTGTGGAAATATATCATTGACTAGTCGTTTATATCGTCGCACTAGATAATAGCCACAACAAAAGCAATTATTAATATACTCAGACATCTAAAGTTTTCATTGTAAAAAGAAAAGGCAAACAACAGAAATGAAATGAATTCGTTATCTTTCGTGTCGAATGTCATATATATAGATGAGTCATTGAGTCCACTAGTGAAACTTATTCAAGATGACGCTAATGTTTGACCATGTAAAACTTGCTAAAACATCTTGCCACTTTTTGAGTTTCCCATAGTTAACATTTCTTTAAATTTTTCACCAACATATCTATTGCCATAGACATCACACAGGCAGAGTCGTGCTGTAATTCCTTGAAATTGAAGAATTTCCTCATTTCGAGGTATATGTGCCATAATACCATTATACTGAATACGCAGATTCCACCATACAGAATTTAATTCATTTTGACGATCGGTCTGATTACGAAACAATAGAAATCGATATTTATACATAACATAACTAAATGGTAGAAAAACAACTTTTTCCAAAGTGACATGTAAGAGAAAATTGATTTCATAATGTCTATTCACAACTGTCTCCTCAAGAAAACCCAATCTTATTAAATGTTCAGGTGAAACTAATAGAATAGAAATCATAAATCGTACAAATCTCCAATAGCTTCGTGAAAATCTGAATTAGCTCTATCTTGAAAAGCAAATGGTTGTTTTCTATCGTAGGACATATAATATTCTATATGACCCATTTCATGATGAATCGTATAATAATCATTATTAATTTTTAAACGCCCGTGTAAAAATAAAAGATACAACAAAGTCAATGATTTTTTCAATCCAATGAGAAAAATACACCGTCGCAACCAATTTCGATTTACCTTCTTTACACATATTCAAAAGGTGGAGGCTACTGTAAGCACAACAATATTCAAAAAACAGTGTCACACAGGGCGCACACAACAGCCGCATAGGAAAATATCTATGGTAGCTCAGTTCTGAATACATTTCAAAAAAGATTTTTTTATTTCAACGTATTTTCGATACATATAGAATAACATTCGAATTTTAATAATCAAACAGGTAAATCATTGCACCACCTTTCACTAATTACAGAAAAGAGTTTCACGTTTACTAATTTTTTATCGCTCCGTTGTTGTGTATTGCGTACACTATCAACTAGTCTTTGTGTCAAAAGTTCATTTGTCGATGATGATTTCAAATTCAATGTAGCATAAAAATCTCGCCGTAATGCAATATAACCATACGTAGATTCTTCGAATTGATCATAGTCAATGCCTTCCGTTTAACGGTTGATCGTTGTTCGCAGTGATAAACCAGGAATACGATTCATAATCAAGAAAATAATGACAGTCATACCAAAACTTTAAACAAAACCAGCAGCTAAAATATATAGATTAAGACAGATAAAACGGCAAGGAGAAAATCTGACAGCGATTATCCTGAAAGATAGAACTTACATGCAAATGCTAATAGATACATGACTTGTTTCCAGCAGCCCGCGGCGCCGGGGCCCGGGGGGGGGGGGGGGGGTGGGGGGGGGGGGGGGGGGGGGGGGGGGGGGGGTGGGG